TGAAAATGCTTCACATAATCGCACTTCACCTACCCACTTATCTCTCTAAAAAAGAGTGTGCAAATCTGCCCCCACATTCCTATCTAACTTCTCATCCAACCATGAATTTTCTTGATGAATAACCTTTAACAAATCACGTCACTGCAAAGAACATTTGTTGTGAACTAATGGACGTTGAATAGCATAAGCTAGTCTGCCATATCTAGCTTCCAGCATCCACACCTACAATAAACTAGAACAATTAACACATGGTCACAACCATTTACCAATAAGCAATTAAAAGATTAGGTTATTAGACTAAAAAAAGTAATTAATTCAATTATATTTTTTTATAAATATAAATTTTATCTCAAAAATACTTCTAATATCAAACAATATAGTTAGTGTAGTCATTAACTCATAAACACATATTTAATAATAAAAAAATTAATAATTAATATATTTCAAATATATCTCATGTTTCTTATAATTAAAACTAAAAAAATATTTACTTTTATTTCTTATAAATAAGACTAGAGAGAGTATTGTATTATTTTTAATATTATCTTTCAAACAATAATGGAGTTTTATTCGATGTATTACTTTTATATTGTAAATATAAAACTTTAATCTTCGTTAAATAATTATAATAATAAAAGTAAAAATTTTATTGAGCCTAAATTTTTCTTTTTATTAAATTATTATTATTTATTTAAAATTAATAATATATTATCAAATACATTTTTATCTCACATTTTTAATCATAAAAATTTATTAAAAATTATAAAACCAGACAAGTTTCATGCTTTCTTGTTTCTAATTTGATAATTTTTTAAAAATTTTATATTTTTAATAAATAATTGAAAATATATTAGAAATGTGATAAAAATATATTTCTAACACTTCTGTTCTTTCAATAGCATGAGGTCGAGAATACTGCATTGTACAATAAAAGTTGCTTTCATAGAATTCAAAAGGTTGCTTAGCGCATTAACTCTCACCTTCTATGGGTCAAAAGGACCAAATTTAATGGACCATTTAATATTTATTATTGAAAGCCAAGCCAATAACACATTTTTTATGGATAAGAATGAGTGTTTTAAACTACTTTTTATTCTTTCACCCAAGCGAAAGAGAATATTGCAAGTGAATTCATAATAATATAAATCATAAATTTTAATTTTTTTAACTCTACACTAAGGATATTTTCAATAACAGTCAAAACTAATCCCTTTTAAAATTTAAAGATTATTAAAGTAGGTATAATTTTCTTAACAAAGTTTCCCTTATATAATTAAAAATTAAGCCTTATTCATTATACAAAGATGACTAACTATCCTTCAACAAAATAAAAGTCAAATTTTAATATAATATTGAAGTCTATTCAGTCTTAATATTGAGTTTCTTATAAATGTCTAATTTAACAAATTTTATACACTAAATATTTAATTCTAAACGTGAATCAGGTTCAGTTCATTTTTACTTTAAATTCTTAGCGTGTTCAGAACACAAAATAGTAAAGTGACAAATGATAATTAAAGCATATTATTTTTTTAATTAAAATCATGATATGTGCTTTATTTTCTAAGCCTACCATCCTCTTTTTCAAAGGTATTATAATTAAAGTATGAAAAATAGTATAAGTTACATTTTTTATTATACAACAGTATTACTCAGTTAAAAAACCTTATCATCTTAAGTTTCGTACTTTAGAAAATCAAATTAAATATCTAAATTTGAGCTTGTCACTTCTATTTAATTGGGCTTTTAACGATTCTTTGGATAATATATCTGTGTGGTTATTAGATCATATCCTAATCAGTACGGAAAAAGTAGATCCAATTCCAAATCACAATTAACTTAACTAAGAGACATTATTGATTCGTGCTTAAGATTTAAGCTCGATTTGTTTTAAATTTAGACTTCTTAATAAAACTTACAACTTTGATTTGAGTTTTATTTAATATTTTTTTCTCTAATACGATCATATTGTGTTACTTATCAACACGACAGAATTTAAATTTATTTATTTGTATGATGTTCATTCCCATTAGTGAATAAATTTTTTATTATAAAGAAAAATGACATTAATGAACACATTAACCAAAATTTGATTAATGCAAAATGTTAAAACAAACATACTCGTTATCCATTCAATCAAGTTGTACCAACTTGCCTGACAAGCATTATTCTTCAAAACTATTTTTGTTTTCTGCATCAATGAATGACAAAACTACTTTGAATGGCACATTTGTTCTATTATTAATATTTATCTCAACAAGTGGGTCTCTGATTCTCATCTCGTGATGCATTGCTGAGAATAAAATCAATCTGTTTATCATATATAAGATTTAGAAAAACCTAATATGGCTACTGAGGGAAAACCCAGAAAGATTCTAGGCTAAACATGATAATATCCATGGTTAACTACTATTAATAATTAATGTTCTAGGTTAACCTCGTGTTTGTGTACCATTTTGCTGGGCACTTAAGAGAAAATTTCTGACTAACATTCACGAGTAGCTCGAACCCGTTATACAAAGTGCAAAAATTTTATGACAAGTTGTGTTAATATTTTAAAACTTTAATTTAGTTTTATTCAATATAATAGAATATTCATGTTAATAATTAAAATATTTTAAAATTTCCTCTATTTTTTATTTGTAAATTTTATTTAAATTTTAAAAAGCTCATAAGAAAAACTTGCAAGTATTTTTATAAAATTCAGGTTTCCTTTTCACATAGAGAAAAAAATGGTTGGATTAAATAATTATAAATTTTTTTATAGCTTTATTTACAGTTTTAATTTATAAATAGTTAAACGGTATCAATATTTATTTAACAACTTTTTTTATTTTTATTACATTATATTATCTATTATGTATTATTTTTTATTTCTATATAGACACCGAAACATTTTTTCCTTGTACTTGTTAATGAAATTCGAATGACATCAATCATTATATATATTTTTCCCATATGCTGTTATTTGATTGACGTTCGTCAATTGTTGCGCCGCCTTTTTCGTTATTAAAATGTCAACAAGAGTTTTTATATAGGTTAATAATTATAAACAAAATATTTGATTCGTTACAGACTTCAAATTTTATTTATTTATTATAAATAAATTAATTTTGATGTTGTAAGTCATGTAAGAATAGCTTAGTTATAGTTAAAATAACATTTCAAATTTTTATATTAATATTGTTAGATTAATTGCTTATTACTATGTGTGTGAGTGCGTGTCAATTAAATTAAATGCTTATCATTAAGTCAGAATCTATGGATACTATTAATAGCACAATTTTTTTTATTTAAGTCTTTTTTTTTAATATTAAAGGAGACTAAAAATCCAAAACCAACAAGAAATACTAAAATAATTTTAAGAGATCTAAATCCAAGAAGTCCATCTTAAAGAAAGGAATAAAAAGGATGGGACTAGATTAACAACACAAAAATTATCACGTGTATTACGAGTCATTTGAGTTAAGTAATTAGTACACTAATTGACTCCTATAAAAACATGAGAAAACCTAATTCATCTATATTCCTTTAATAAACAGCTCATGGACTGAATTTAGTAGAGATTATTTTTACATAAATAATCACTTGTTTTCTTAAAACTCTAAAAAAATTAGTAAATATAAGTATTTGTCTTTTTAAAAATAAGTTGAATTAAACAGTTCATTTAATTTGACTTTAATCCTATTTTGCTAAGTTGAATGTTGGTCCACAACTAATAAATATATTTGGAAAATAAAATACTTAATTTATGATTAAAAAATCAAATTTTATATAAATCGTAATTTAGTATTTGAGTGATGTGAGGTACATTTGAATATTATGCAACTCATAAATGCAAGTATGGAAACAAAAATGATATTTGCATATCAAAATCTTATATCATTTTTACACTTTACTTGTTTGGGCCATTAAAAAATTGAAGAAAAAAAATATATGTTAGGTTGATTGGTTTTCTTATTTTATTCTATAAGAATGATGCGAAAATTTTGTGTATATATCATTTCTCATGCAAATATTAAGTTTCATTAGCCCAAACATTTGATCCAGCCCACCCCAGTAATGACTAGCTCATACTGGACTAAGCTATAATGAAAATCCATAAATGTCGTAATTAACTGTTATAAATATTAAGCTTTTTTTATAATAAATTTACCTCAATATTTTTTTAAAAAAATCCATATTTTAATTATTTTAAAATTTTATTACAATAAATTATATTTTTAATTAAAATATAATTAAATAATTAATTAAAAATTAGTATTTAAAAACTTCTATTATACAAATTAATAACGAATGTGTGAACTAGTGAGTTCAAATGGTTTGTAACTCACATAAACTAACAACTTATCAATTCAAAATATCATTAGGCTATGGATATGTTGACTACATACAGTGTTTGTTCAATCAATTTCTTTATCACATGAGAATGTCATAAATATGCTATAAAAATTTATTTTGATGAATATTGCCAATAACTTATTTTAGTAAGTTGTTTTCATAAAAGAAAATATCTAACTTTGTTTCATAAATCAATTCCAACTCTTCCAAACCCCTCAGTTCAAACTTAAACTCAACCCAACTGACTGACCCAAATGACCTACACCGGACTATATCAACACCTATAATTGGAAATTTGGCATTTGAGATATTTTTAAAAAGATGTTTTAATTTGTTCATTTTTTCCATTAATTTTAGTATTTAATTAAAAATAATTTAAATCCTCTTAAGCAACTAAATGAAGAAAGTATTATATTTCTTTTATGCCCCTAAATAAATTTTTTTTATACAAATAATGGTATAGTAGAACCCTGGGCAATCTCTGGTAAAAGAGATAAGCTTCCAGTTTAGGTTAAAAAATGAATATAAAGTATATTTAAAGTTTCAATTACACTTTGATCCCTCTTCTTAGAATTCAACCAACCATTTCCATTTTATGGTTGGATTCAGTTCTGCGAGGAGCATTTGCTAATGATAAAATTAAAGAACCAGATGCGATATAATCATAATTGTAATAAATAAACACCATAATATTAATCACACGAGACAACAGAAAGAGCTACACGTAGGTCATTTGACGTTCCACATATATACATTCTATAAGTTTCAATTTCTTGTTGAGAAATACTACCACTACGAGCTGCATAGTGATTAGAATTCACTCTATCACGCAGCCAAAAAATAATCTCTCTGAGGATCGGTTCATGACCATTGAGGAGATTGCCCATGCTCAAAACCTTTCTCCAAGACTGGTTAGCGGTTGGAGGAACAAACATATTTGACAACACTTTCCTCTCATTGTTCCTCACTTCATGTTTCTTGTCAAATTCCTAAGCAAAAACGCACGAAGGATAGAGGATACATGTCAGTTCAATGGTCAGGAACATGAGCCAAATCAAAACAAGGTATTTCAAGGCATATAAGCATTTCACCTTTTCAGCAATGTCCTCTGTCAAGCCTGTTCCCGTTGTTTGAATATAAAAATTGTAGTAACCAGTGAAAATTTCTCTGGAGAGGCGTGGCGCTTGTATGAGCTTGCGATGAAGAGAAGCTGCAAAAGTCAATAATTTCTCAACACGTTCAAAAGCAACGGTTAGTCGTCGTAAGTCTTCAAACGTTTCACTGTCTGCAGACAAGCGATTTACTGCAACAAAATGGAAATAGGTTAAAAACTATCCTTTTCCACATCAGAGAAAAATTAATGAATAAATACCTTGCAAAGGCCTCAAAGCAGATGCCAAGGTTCGGTAAAGTTGCAGCACCTCAGTCTCCATCTGTTTCAGTTCTCCATAACTAGTCTGACTTAGTGTGTCGGCTGCGGCTCTGAAGGCAGTGCATACCATTTGCTCAAGCAATTCATGTGGTTGTAGAGTTTCGAGATAGTGAAGAACCTGGAAAATTAAGAATATATCTATTATGTAGAAAACAAGGGATACATAGAGGGAACAGCATATCCCAAGCAATCCAAAAATGGGTCCAACAATACGGTGAATACGATTGCTGCTACGTCAAGGAAAAATCTGTAAGATTCATGGGGCATGGCCTCCTACTATCATTAAGATCCACATTTTGGATTTGTCTAGACTGAAAAGTGAATAAATGGATGCCAAGTTTTAATGGTTTGACTGTTCAGTCAGCATGATAAACAAAGTAACAAAAATAATGCTATTGTAGCATAAATTTCCCAGAGGCAAAACAATCTGTTTCACAAAAGCTAAAACAAAAAATAACAAAGCCTTATCTTAGTAGATAAGGTTAGCTACATGGATCATATGATATCACTAGGTTCAATCAATAATAAAATTTTCAGACAACAAAAGCAAAAACAAAGTAAATTTAAATTTCTACAAAATTACTTACTTTTTCTCCTTCTCTTTTTGGATCAAGAAGAGGTTTCTGTTCATAAGCAGGAAGAGCAGGTGCGCTATTCCAAAGCTTTCTCCATAAATTTCCATGCTCAGACATTCTCTTAGAAAGCTGCCCTCGTGGAGACCAACTTTCTTTTGCCTTCTTATTGTCAAGAGCATTGGACGATAATGATGATGATCCACTTCCCTCAGGATCATTATCCTCTACCCAATCCCCAGGTGAATGCCACCGAATAAAATCTTCAAAAATAGCATCTGGGTTTGCTGCTTTAAATGCTGACATATCTAGTAGCAACAAAGCCATTATTGGTCATATTATTATAATGCAGAATCTTTGAATGTGCTATCAAGCCCTATGAAGTGAAAAGGAAAAAACAAGTCTACTAGGAGTATACTCCATGTGGGTCAGAATAAGCTGACACTAGCATAAAACAAATGTAATGTCGTATTATTCATCAAGTTTTTTTTTTTATAGAAGAAATAGAATTCTTCTATAAAAAATTTCTTCGAAAAATGTCTCATTATGCACACCACACCTGAAAAATTTAATTTATTTGAAAATCAATTTATAGTTCATCAGTTTCTCTTACAAAAATTAACATATAATATACTGTTAAAAATAAAAACAACATAAAATGTCTAATTTTTAAAAATATTTGGTGGGTATGGTGAACATAACACTTTGAAAAATAAGATTGATAAAAATATCATTCCATTAATGAATGGAGTATCAAATGTTACTTACACCAATTATAAATATTATGATCCTTTTGTAAATGTGTAAGTATACATATAAATTGTTTTTGAACATCACATGCGTATGCTTCAGAAATCAGAATTGGCGAGATTTTGTAAGAGAAAACAAAAAAGGAACTTGAGGCATGATTACAAAATGTATATGTTATTACCTGAAGTTAAGATATCCTTTTCCAGCTGAGCAGAAAAATTCTGACAAAAAAAGTATAAAAAAAAATAAAATCAAAAAGGCATTGCTAAGTACCAATGCAACAAAAAGAATGGAAAAACATATCAATCCTAACACATCTATTTAGGAGTTCTATATCTGCAAGCATAAATATGGATGATTTAATCAAATAAGAATTTAGCTTCAAAGAGTTCAGGAAGGAGATGAATATTTAATGTGCGTTTGTGTATCTTTCTAAGAGTGCTTTTGAAAAGGGAAGAAAAACCTCATAAATAATCTCAACCAGACATCACACCTCGCAGTTTTGTCCCTGTCATTCATACTTTTAACTTCATACATCTTTGTCTCCTAAAGATCTTAAACTGCCATCAACTTCTGGACTTGATTCTACTTATGTATTGATATTTGATTTGATATTCAAGTGAAGTAAAGGGACCTAATAAAAAATAATAGTATTTATAACTGTGCATAAGAAGTTCCACAACTGAGCCTGAGTCTCTTCATTTTACTATGTCAACCAGATGTAAGAGGATTCAACTATCCAAAGAATTTATCCATTTCTCACATCACATAGTATAGGAGACAATTTTAATCCATGGTTATGTCTATAGTTTCTACAAAAAAGTTAAAAGAGCTACAGCATCAACCACAAAAATAATCAATTCCACCTATCATCAACTTGTATCAAATTTCTACTAAATTCATGACCTTTAAAATGAGTTTACATCCCAAATCTATCATAAAACCCCATAATATATGGATAGAAAATGAAAATTTTAGGGTTTAGGTTAGGTAGAAGAAATTTGATGGAGGGATCAAATTTACTTGATTTTAAAAATAAAAAGGGACTAAGATAATAAAATAATTGAGGGACCAAAATTGCACATAATCCAAAATAAATGGACCAAAAGTGAAAATTAAGTATATGCGTGTGCATGTGAAAATTGCATCATGCAGGTATTCAAAAACAATACAATTGGTTAGGGGATAGAAAGATCAAATGAACACATCATGGTGAATGAAATGATAGGGTGTTATAGATATCATCCTTCCCCAAGCAAAGCAATATAATGTTTTTTAGGAACAATGTTGTAAACTTGTAATCAGTTACAAAATATTAATCCATCGTCATGTTACGCAGATTACTTGAGACTGTAGAACAATACACTGAGCAATAAGAGGCTGCTGCATCACATCCACATGTAATTCATACCACTTTAGGAGACAAAGATGTATGAAGTTAAAGTATGAATTACAGGGACAAAACTGCAAGGTGTGATGTCTGGTTGATAATTCACAGGCACTGGCATGGTTCAAGTTCATTGATAATTAAGAGGCAATATCCTCAATTTATACCACTGAAACATGATTCAAATCCTTACATATAACCTCAATTAATTGTTAGATGCATCTTGTTTTCAATCAATTCTCCCTATGTGAAATGTGAGAGGTCTATGTGGTCCAAGGCTTTGTTGTTGTTATTATTATTATTATTATCATTATATGCACTAGATGAGTTTGAGCTTACAAATGAATCACCAAAGGCTTCAACAGCCTGAAGCCGCTCCTCATGCATGTCTTCGGTCATAAGTGGTGCTTCCTGTAGCATAGCAATCAAGATTAAAGGGATTATATTCTTAAAAAACTGGTGAAGTACTACCGCATAATGATGACAAAATGCCAAATGGTGCCTGGATGCAAGAACAACCTGTGTATATGGGGCATGCATACTTTGATATGACTTGAGAAGCATCATAGAATCAACAATACCAGCTGAACCCCTCCTGATCAAGTCTGAAGATTTCTTCTCATGCAACAGATCCACATCTCCTGGCTTTGTGCTAACAGGATTTTCTCCCCTGAACAGTGTAAAACATTAGTAGTTGAAAACATGCAGCATTAGCATAGGATTAGACACCATTTGTGCTACAAAGTACTTGAACCATTTCCAAGGATATTATAGTATAAAATTTGTAACTTGAGGTACAAATCCATTATTATTCTTAATAGCAAACACTTGACACACGAGCTACATGACATTAAAAGCACAAAAATAAGTGTAGAAGAACCTAATGATTATTGATACCAAATTTAGCAGAGAACACAAAGGGCATGTTAAGACGTAAGTAATAATGCCTCATATGGTCTGCATGCTTGCAACATATTGTTATTTTATTATCTACCAAAGACCAAAAACCTAATGTTTCAGGAACATATCTAAAGTCTTCAAAGTCCAAATTTGTTAAAAGGTGAACAAAATTAAGGTAGCTTAGAAGCAAAATCATATTCAGAATCAGAAATTTCACAATTACTGACTTGAGGTTGCAGCAAAAAGTAATTTTCAAGAAATATTTGATATTGCTTGTTAAAAGAAACAAAAGGGGAGATTGTTATGCATAGACAGGAGATGACTTAAAGAGGAAAGCTGTAGGCAGGGCCATCCTTGACCTTTATGAAACCCTAGGCGAAATAAGAAATTAAGACCTTTTAAAAAAATTATAAAATATAATAAATAAAATAAAAGCATATGATTAAATTTTATTAAAATAATACATTTTTTAAGTGACTATAATTTTTTCTAATAAAATTATAAAAAAAAAATATTCTTTCATTTAAACAAATCCTATGTTAAAATCAACTACAAAAATACAAAAAATCATAAAAAATGAGTTCTATGAGTATTCTGAAATGCAAAATTATTAATGATAACATTAACATTAATGTTTGCTAAAAATTCTTTATCAATTGATAAAAATGCGAGACCATTCAACCATTTTGTGAAATTGATGACTTTAGGTAAGTTTTGATTAACTTTAACTCTAAAAAGCTTCTTTCAGTTGATGATATAGTTACCGAAACCGTAAAAATATTTTATAAGTGATTAAAACATTTAGATAACAATATGCAGATTTGATAATCTCAATAACTATTTAATTTTTTAGAGAAAACTAAAATTTTTCATAAACTTTAATACTAAGAAGAATAAAATTTTGAAATTAAATGAAGTTTTGAATTTATAGAAGTCAATGAGTCGACTTACCAAGTAAAGTGTGAGGAATTAAAAGGTCTTTTTTATTTTTCTATTTTTTCTCAACTGCAAGAGCTGAAATTTTTTTCAAATAAAAGTAGAACAGATTTTTACTTTAAAACTTATTTTAAGCTTAAGTCCTAGCTGTAGGCAAAAGGAGTCCCCCTAGGTCATAAATCCTCTGACATAGAAAATAAGAGAATCACCACCAACCGTTTACCTAAATGGAAACTAGAGATAAATCATATAATTGAAAAGAAAGAGAAAGTGATATAATCAAATGGATTGTCTATACACTCATTCAAATTTAGGTTTTGAGTTCCATTCATTGGATTGTAGAAGGTAATAACTCTCAATCAATATATTTATGCAAAAAAGAGCAAGTCTGTGACACTTCAACAGCAAAATGCTATAACCTAAACCTTAACCCTAACCTAACCATGCCATACTAGACTACTAGAGCAATTTAATTGGGCAACAACAAAATTCCATATTTCTTTAGGTAAACAAAATTAAGGTTGCACTAACTAAATGATTTTCGTTACCATGATAAAAATCAAAATAATAGGAAATTACAAAATCATCTGTCAATTATTAGTCACCCTACATTAATCAGAGTCCTAAATAAGCAGTGATTATAGAACATGCTATTGGATAAAATGAAGATAGTCCTAAACAAGCACTGATTACAGAGTCCCAAGGTCAACAAATCCCTCTCTATCCTCCTATTAAAATACAACCCAAGAAATCAACCACTAAAAGCAAACAACAAAGGGAACAAAGGACACCCCCTTTATTTAACCAGTATACTCTATTTACCTATAAATTAAAAAATATTGATATGCACAAGAAAACTTATTTAATTTAGCTAAGAGCAGAAGTGGTGACATAAAAAATGGAAAAAATGGCCATAACAGAGTGAATTGTTATCTAATGGGAAGTAAGACGATAGATGCAGGTGATAACAACCAAGCAGGCTCTCACTTGCTAAGTTCACCTGTCAACTTTCCCTGAATAATCCTCACTAGGCGTTTGTACACTGAATGAGCCATCCCCAACTACGCTTTCTTCCTGCAATTCAATTAAGACCAAATAATACTCACAATGCAATGCAAACTATAAAATGAATAAACTACAGTAAAGAAATAATCAATTCAACAACTAAAATGGTTTGTGACCTCACTCATGGAGTCCATTTGATCCATAGTTCCAATACAATCTTGATAATCTTCATTCAGCTGACACTTCTTGTCAATGCATATAGCAAGCTGAATAACAAAACCAGAAAATTGCATCAATTTTATCACAATGTACTTGATAACATATAAAAGCCAAAACACCCAAGTTCACTGAATCATTTCTAGTTTTTCTTATAATAAACAATCCAGGGGTGGAACCAGGAATTTTATTTAGCCACAAGCCCAGTATGCAATTAAGGTAGAGGAAGTGCATATCAAAATTATAAACAACTATATTTCTATACCCAATACACTAACTAATAATAATACGAGAAAATTCATTCCAAATTGAAAGAAACAGTGAATTAACTATTAAGTTTTATTTTTGGCAAAAAGGAAAAGTAAATAATGTTCTAGAAAAAAAAATTAACATAAAATTTCATATAAAATATACAAAGCAAACAAGCACACTAGTAGATTTTCAGTAATCCTTTTAAAGATAAAAATAAATTACCATCTGAAGTTTCTGGTTTATCAAACAAGTGGAAAGGTCAATTGATCCAATAGTTGGCATTCTGGGTAATAGTTGTGACTCTTCCCAGCACCACCTAACCTCTCGAACAAACTCTATCCAAAGCACAGCAATAGCTGACAAAGAGACCAAATTCAAGTGATACAAATGAAAAATATACAGTACAAATAACATCACAGAAAATCAATTCCTTATAGGTGACTTTCCTACTCTCTTATTCGGTTTAGGTTATACAACAAACCATAATTACTATTGGTAAGTACCACGTATATTGCAGTTGCCAAACCAAAGAGAATGTAAACAAAATTGTGCAAAGAGAGATCCAAGAGGTGCGCCTTTTACAGCTCGAGAAGTCTTATTATGTCCATCAGCGAAATCATAGAACTGTATGCCTGCATGCAGATGTTATATCACTGATCATAACAAAATGATGTGAAGTATCAAATAGACCTTACGTTAAAAAAAATAAGAAAAGGAAAAATAAGAAGTCTTTAAATGAATGGAAATGTCCCTCAAATTATAGTCATTTTCATGTGAGACAAGGGAAAATTTTCCTTTCAAGAATTTGTTTCTAGTGCTTGGCATTGTTCCACCCACCACTTATATTTGGCATTCTTTACTTGAAATGAATAATCAATCACCCAATGAACCATGTCTGTCCTTGAAAATAAATATTCTGTCAATTGATAGTAATCTTCAGGCAATTCTTCACCAACCTCAAATAATGAGTTTCAAATTGGAAAATGTAAATAACACTTAGGCTATTTCTTCACTCTGATGTCCCAAGGCCAGTAGCTGGGTCTGTTAGCAGATTTATCATAGATTGGATGTGGATGCCAAATCTAATGGTTAATATTAGAAACACATCAAGTCTAACTCAACCCCAAAAACAAACTTAAGGGAGAAGAACTAGCCAATTCTCACAAGAAGTATTCTGACCATATTTCTAATTAGTATGGAACATCTTAACACACATCCTCTAATGCCTAGGAGTAGACATGTGGAGGGTGAAGTTTGCAGGATTTGAAGTGGACCAAACTCAACTCCAAAAACTGATTCAAAGAGGAGATTTGGCCAAGTCATATGTTCAAGGTTATCGAATCAGAATTTAAATGGTGAATCATAAATCAAATTGACTTTTAACATTAAAAAACATAACACAAATAACTTAAATATAACAAATAGATCAAGTTGGTTTATGTTCTAATCAAATTCTTATATTTTGATCAGATTACTATTTCTAAGCAAACTAAATTTTCTATTCTAATGGTAACTGAAGGAAAGACTTCTAGTATTCAGTTTCCCTCCAATTAAAAAAAAAAGGAAGATGTAACACTTCACTAGCAATCATATGGTCCTGTGGTAAAGACAGTAAATTTCAGAAAGGACAAATAGAACCACATCCTTTTCTATTTGGGCCTTTTTACTTTAAAACAACAGAGCCCATTATCATTGAGCCATCTTCTTCACCCAACTTGGCAACCAGATTGGTGGCTGCATATCCAGCAGTTTTTAATCGCCTCCAGAAACAGAATCAAGATTTTCTGCTTGACTTGCATAATTCTGGCATTCCAGGTGATGATTCAGCAGGCCATTCTATAATTTTCCCTTCACTTGTATCGTAGTGTGAGTGAATTAGATCCATTCACATTATTCAAATTGTGATTCATGATTTCTATAACCACACTTATCAGGAGTATTCTATCAATATTCTTAACCAATATGAGACATTTTAACAATTGATAAACCAACAACAATGGAGGTACATGAGTATTCACCCAGAATGGAAGCCAAATAAAGGAAGAGGAAAAGCTACGTACCCTCAATAAACAATTCTTTCAATACACGATCTCTAACTGTTGGTGGAGGTATAACCATTGAGGATTTTAAATTATCAGAACCTGAATTTTCAACTGCAACAGACAAGAAGCAAAAATATTGAACCATACACCGAAATGCATTACTAACAATGAAGCATCAAGCTGAATAAGTAAACTATACAGAATGCACTAAAAAAATTCGAACCTGAAACAAAATCTTCTATAAATTGTGCCTCAAATGACATTTGCAATGCATCAACTAGAAGATGCAACTGGGATGCAAATCCAATCCGATTCCCACTTGAACCTTCAAGTCTATATGAATAAAAATAATATCACAAAAAGAATTGACTTACATAGATTATTTAAGAGCATAAGAAGTCAAATTTATGAGTATTGGTTTTAGTAGTAATTGTACTTCATAAAATAATAACAGACTAAATCTATTTATTGCCACTAGGTCACTGCCACTAGGAAAAAAAAAACTTGGTGCTTTTGTTATACCAAGAAAGTATACCACTTTTAAGGAAAGCTTTAAAAGAGGAAAAAGTAAAGGATGGTGATTACATAGAAGTAGAACCCACCAAACCATTTTAAGTGTTATAAAGATTCAATTTGATACTGAAGAAAATGAAAATTCTGGGTAGTTGTAAATTGGCCAGTGATATGAACCACATATTAAACCTCATCATTATTTATTATATACTTTGAGCAGCAGAAAATTAATTTTAACATAAGCAGCAACTAGTTATCATGAGAATTTTGGTTTTCATTATACAGATTAAAAACTTAAAATTTGGAGTAAACCTTAGAGAGATCATCCACTTCTCAGCTTCATGAGGTGAGGCATTTTCCATTTCAGCCATTTCCATAGAACTTTCAACCATCTTCTCAGACCATATTGCAATCAGTTCAAAACCTGCATGCAGCCTTATGCGTAAATTAAATGGAACTGGCATTGACATCTGAGAGCTTCATGAAAATAATGAAGCTTGGAGAGCTTTTATTAATTAAAAAAAAAAAATTCAAATCACCAAAATATCCTTAGTCACCAAACAAACTTCTCAAAGGGACAAATGAAGGTAAAGGAATTTAGGCCAAAGTTCCTTCTTGAGGGCTAGACAAAACAAATAAAGCAGATATAATCTTCTATTCTCAAAATATTGTTTATCCTTCAGCAAATACATGGCTCATAAGCCACGCTATTATGTCAAAGAGGTTATATGCCTATTGCACGGTTTGATGGAAAGATACAGAAGGGAGGTGGAAAATAAAGAAAAATATTCACTGCAACTCTCTAGTATCATCCCCTCCAATCAAAGTGATTCGCAGTTTGCATACTTGCAGCTTATTTCTTTGTTAAGCAGAAAATTTTAAAGAGAGACAAAACATATTTCTCTTAATTATCCCAGTGTTTAAGCTCTAAAGTTAAGACCCAAATGTAAGTCTTTGTATAAGGAAAAATCATTGTATAGAGAAAACCTTATTGTGAATGTGTAAGTATCACAATTCACTATATATCTCTAGTTTTATTGATATTAGCAAATAGAGAGTAGCATGTGGCTGTACTTTGTTTCATCCCTATGTTTCATGATAGATGCTGTTAATGAGGCTTTGTTTTGCTGATATGCAAGTTGTATGAACTTAGCCATCGCTCTGTGTTTCTAAGAGGAAAAAGAAAATAAAAGAAAAGATCACTTAACACATGGCCAGCAAACCAAGTTGAGGGAGGTCATGTACATCAATAAGAACTTAATGTACAAAACATGAACATGGCCTCAACATAAGGACTATTTTACTACTATCCCATTAAAAGTTAATATTTGTATCATAAATACTAATTATTGACAATGATAAAATTTCAAAACAATCAGATTACATGTGCAAAAGCACATGAGAAGATGTCTATTCTATTGAGAAGAGCTAAAGGTGCTTTATGCATCTAAAATTCTTTGGTCATGCTTGCAAATGATCCCCAATTTATTTGTCAATTATGATCAACATGCCCGCACAAACATTTCTAATTACAACAAATTTAAAGATGTAACTGAGTCTTAAGAACTTCTATGTAATGAAAACATCCAAGCATGAACCTAAAGCTACTTTTACCTACCCTACTTCCTAGAATTTACCTTTAACAGGATCTTCTGCAGAATACCACTCACTCCAAAAACAATCATCATCCCATTGCTTCCCATTGGATGTTTCACCAGAAAGATTTTCTCCAGATTGGGTAATTTTGGCATCTTTCATATAGTCATCGTCATAGGGAAGTGTTCTGAATGTTAGCTTCATTGCAAATCGGACTTTGAAATTGTGAACAGATAGATCCAATGTGGAGTAGGCCTTTAGTATCAAAAACAATTTAATTATTACAGACAAAAGTTTAAAGCACAGTGCAGACATGAAGTCAAAATTTTACAAAAATGCTAGTTATAGCATAAATTATGAGGAAGAGGTTATTGTGTATGCAAAGTCTCCAAGCAAAATATTGGGTAAAGCAAGCCAGAATACAATAAAGACAAAAAAGAATAAACCACACAAATAACTTTCTCTTAGCTCACAACAAATTTCCAATTTTTTCAAGCAAATAATATTAATGTAAAAAACATTAATTTAGGAAACTGTTGCAATACTACAGGTATTTTTTGTGTTGTTCTCCAATTAAATGGAGTTTCATTTCGGTAATCCATAGTGAACTTTAATGCATAGGTTACTAAGATGAAACTCTAATTTTGATTGGAGAACGATGCCAATGAACCCATGGCACGGCAAATAAACTTTGTCCATTGCATTATCCCTGTTATTGGATGATTATCCATTCATTTACTTATTTCAACTCAAGATATTCTCTCTCCTCTAGGGAAAAGGTTAGACTAAATGGTAAACCACTTTATCAGAGCACTAAATAGTAACTACATCTGCTTCAGTTCAAAGAAGAGAGCAAAGTATAGAAGCACAAAGAAGGGGAATGCCGAATTAAAAATGGATTTGTTCCAACATAAAAAAATCAAGTAGATATTAAATTAAACAACTTGGGACAGGAACTCACAAACTTAGACACAAATAACTCGTACAGCCCCTCCAAATGCATAAGTTTTACTGGAACCTGACTACCAATTCGATCTGCTTCAAACCTTCTAGTAAATACAGTACCCATGCTCTGAATTCCAATATAAGCTTTGCGAGAAGGATCATGAACTGGAACAAATGCTGGCCATAAACTACGAAGCCAATGTTATGAGAAAGCAAATCTTCACTTTAGTTGCCTAAACCTAACTAAACTTGATATTTCAACAATCTCTTTATTTAAACCCAGTAAACCATAATATTTTAATCCCACAACACAGTAACTTCTCAACTACAAACAAGAGCAAGACAGAAACCCAAATATAAATGAGAAACAAGCTACACTTGGTTAACATTTACAATCAGACATAAAAGTAAGCATAAATATGCCACTGCACACAAATTATTCTAAATTTTCACTACTCAATAAGTGTTACAGAACAAGGAACAATAGTCACCTTGAACAATTAGACAAAGCAATTGCAACAGCACTCAAGAGCTTGCTAGCCTCTGGCGCATCAAGAACCACACCACTTGCACTCTGAGGAGCTATCACCTAGAGATATACATGACAAGAAGTGCTTCCTTATCCTCAGTGAAACCATTAAAATTCCAGAGAAAGGAAAAACGCAACATTAAGCCATACCAAAAACTCCTTTACGCCAAAACATAACTGCAGATCATGCAAATTAAAATTCCTGTCCACCGGTTTTCCTGAATCAACTAGGTACAAAACATTGCATACCAAACGTCAACCTACCGTCCAATACCTCCCCGCCCCCCAAAACCAAAAGAAAGAAAATAACCACCTGCATTGGTCTCAAAATAGTACTCCATGCAGTAAGTTTTCATCGCATACTTCATTTCAGATTTCACCTTGTACAAATCACGAGAATCCTCCAAGAGAACTGCACCTTTCTTCTATAACTCAAAAAAAAAGAAAAAAGAACGAAAGCTGTTCATTCTAATCCAAAACGAAAATGGCATTAAACTTTCATTTTTCAACACGCATAACGAAAAAACCACTGCAAAAACGTAATTGAATAAATCATTTCACAAACAAGCACGTAAACTTGTGAAGTAAGGTTCTTTTGACACCACCAGCATTCCAATTATGCCAAATTCTGCGATTTCCAACACTTACCGATAAATTATTCGGCCCATCAGACATCCAAAGCCGACATACTGCCTCTATTTCAGAAATAAACCTACATAAACACAATTACCATCATAATTAAATCAAATTAAAAATAAAATAAACAAATTGCATCTTCTTTCTATGCATGCAAAGAGCACACAGAACAATGCATATTAGGGATACAAAGACACACCGTTCCCACGAAGAAGCAAGAGTGAAATCATCGAAGTGCTCGAGCTGCATCGCATGGAAACAAATCAGAACATTTCAAAACCGTTATAAGTAGAGGAAGCAAAAACAAAATTGATTTGGTAATTTTGTTAATAGAAAACGTACACTTTCTTCTTCTTCTTCTTCTTCTTCTTCTTCTTGTTCGGTGAGTTCGTCGTCGGTAGCATTAGCTTGGATCTTCTTGCCGGAGCTGGAGGACGCCATCGAATCAAAGATACAACAAGGTTCAGGGAATGCGTATTATCATCATCGTCGTCGTCGCCATCAACATCAAAACGAAACCACTCGATTTTTCATATTCACCTTCACTTTTCCGACGAGATCAAAACATTGCAATCATCTTTCAGATCTGAACGTGAATCAATCAAAACAGGATTTAATAATAATAAACTTTTTTTTTTTTTTTTGTGACGGGTAAGTAATATAAATGAAAAAAGTATTCTTTCCTTATAACTCGATTTTTACCAGGAAAAATGTAAAATAATCCCTTCATCCAGTTATAACAATCCATGGAGTTTTTTTGTAATCATTTTTATTGTATGAACGTTTCAAAATTAATATTATATATCATTTTATATATAATTATTTTTATGTATTGTATCATAAAAAATTCCTTAAATTTTTAAAAATACCAAACAAATCTCATTTACACCGTATAGAAAAGAGTATAAACCATTTACTTAATTTAGAGCGATTGTCCTATAATAAGATATTTAATTTTCTTTAAAAAAATTAAAAGTGTGTTTTGCGTGAATTGAAAAATAAATACGTATTAAAAGGATATGATCTATTATACTTATATTTGAAAGAACGGTAATGACTTAAAGGAAAGAAAGAAATTTAGTTGAAGTTAAGTTTTTCAATATTTTTTTATGCGTGTATAAAAAAAACTAAAAAAAATCACCGTGATAATTCTTATATTTTGAAAAAACTTATAAGTATTAATTAATGAATAACTTTAATTTACTTACAAATTAAAAGTTAAGTCTCTCATTTTAGAGGATGTAAGTAAATAGAGACTAAAGAGTAAGAAGTGAAAATTTTTCCTCCTCGGAAAAATGGGCGTACAAATTAAATATTATATATATATAACCTTTTTTAATTTTATGAGTTATTGTAAAATAATTTAAAAAACAAAAATATAACTTCTCTAAGAAACATTGAATTAGAATTAACATTTAAACTTATAATTTCAATTCTAATTACATAAAAATTAGTTTAAAATTAAAAATTAAAGTGAGCCAAATTTAGTTGTCATTAAATTTTATAGAATGGTTCATGAAATTATAATCTCAATTTCAAATAGACATTCAAATATGATAATTAAAATTTTGAAGTACAATTTTAATTCTAGCCTCCAATTTCATAATTAATTTCATCTACCAAACACACATTAATTAAAATCACAGATAAAAAAGAGTTGCAGAACTGACAAAAGAGAAGTAAATTTTATTATAAAATTTGGAGAAAAAAATTAACTTTCACAACATTTATTAATTCATGTTAAATATTTATTCTCCTAATCATTAATGTCAACAAAGGTGTTCTATGTGTTTATTGAGAGAAGTAGCATTTTAAATTCAAACAAATTAATATCACTGAAAAATTAATTTTTTTAATACATTTTATCCCTTATTGCTAACATACGTGTACAAATATGGTATGTATCAATTATATGGCTGAATTGCATGAATTTTCTAAAGCAATAACTTTTATTTTTCTATATTTCTCAATGTTGGTTATGCTTTAAAATTTAATTAAAATTGAGAGTTAATTTTTTTAAAAAGGGAAAATAATAAAGAATATTGATGTAATAATTATTATTTTGTTATTTTTAAACTAAAAGTTAAAAGTTTATAAACATTCTAAAATATTTTCAATTTTATGTTGTTAAGTTTTTAGTCTAGAGAATTTTATATTAATCCTCTATTCTCTTCTCTTCCTTTCTCTTTCTTTACTCTCTAAATTTACTTATTTTTTCTAAACTCTCCACTAAGTATAACCCTCTCTTTTTTATCTAAACATTTTTAAATAAAAATAATCATTACATTAATTTTGTTCATTTTTTTTAAATCAACTCTCAACAACGTTTAATAGATTTTATATCAATGTTTTATATTGATTTTTTTGCTTTACTTTAGTGTATGTTAATAGATTTATCAATTGAGAAAAATATATATGTGGTTGGAGAACAGAAATGTTCATCTGAGGAAATGACTGCGAGATAATAAGAGAAAAACAACTATCAGCAAGACTCTTCATTAAAACAAAAAAAAAAAAAAAAAGTAGAAGAAAAATTATATATCATTTGTATATCTTTTTGAGTTCAACTCTTTATAAAAGTACATATGATAATATAACTTCAGTAAAAATAGTTATAGTGTATCTAAAACCTTTAAATATATATTTGCAAATAGATAGTTATTTTACTAATAACATGTTGAAATAAACCCCGTTAAAGGTTCATTTTAGTCAAAAATATCATAGATCTCTCTCATTCCAGAAATCACTATATAAATTTATAAAAGAATAAATGCCTCTCAACTAACACGTTATTAGAAATATTTTGAGAGAAATTACATTACGATTGATAACTTCTAACAGTTTGTGATATTCTACAAGGTGGGAAGAAGTTATTTTCATCTTAGAATTGAGTTTAAATATTTACAAATAATTTTTTTTATAAAAAAATACATAATTATTATATTAAAGTTATAAAAATATAATAAATATTTTTTTAATAAAATTTTATTATTATTAACTACTTATTCTTAGTTTTAATAGTTGAAATTAACAAAACTCTAAATATAAATATCAATATATTTATATATTTATTATTCTTTAACATTTTAGGAAGAGAAAAAAAAAAAAAAAACTTGGAGGGAGCCGCAACATGGGTAGGAGTATAAAGTTTTGGTTACATCCAATAGTCCACCATTAGCAGGGATTAGTAAAAATTTAAATTTAAAATGTATTTTTATATTTATAAAATAAAAATAGGATTTTTTTTTTGAAATTAGAAAGTTTAAATAGACATTTAAAATTTATATTACATCTTTTTATTATCTTAGATTTTGTAGGTTGAAAGTATTATTTGAAAATAAAACTGATGTTAAAATTATTTATTATTATATTTATAATTTTTTAAATAGAATCAATTTTTATACATATATAAATCTGAATACATAGAAAAATGTAAACAAGTGAGAAAGATAAATTTAAAGTTAATAATTGTGTAACAACATGAAAAATTTAACTAACTGCAATATTTATATATAATTCAATTATATTTTTATGATATTATTATTGATATGCACTTATCATATAATTAATGTTTTATCATTACATGTATTTAAAATTGTGTGTTTTCTATCTCTTACATCAACTAATTGAATTAGTGTATAAATTAAGTTATTAATAGATAATCTCAATTTTGTATGTGTCTTTCTTTTCAATATCTTGAAGGTAATTTTAAGTTTAATCATATCAAATTTGTATGTATTTTTCTTTTTAATATCTCAAAGGTAATTTCATGTTTCATATAATTATCTTTTTGTTCTATTCAAATATTATATTTTCATTTATTTCCTACACTCTTACATTTTAATGTAAAATATCAAAAATTTAACTGTAAAAAATTAATAAAAAAAATTAATTACTTAAACAAACATCAATATAGAATATTAAAATAAGTTAATTTAAAACGCATCTATATATACATATTAAATATTATACTTATTGTTAATAAATTTTATTCATAACACAATAATATTTTTAATTTCAAAAATTAATAATCACATAAAATAATATTTTTTAATCTAAATACAACTTTAAATACATTATTGTTTATTTTATTTATATTATAATATTATTAAAATTACAAACAAATTTTCTTTCAAAACATTATTTATTCATATTAATACTAAAATTAACAGTTGTATATTTGTAATCAAAATTGCTGCTTTGTTAGTCTCCCTTAAACATTTATATATATATATATATATATATATATATATATATATAATTTTTATTTTTATTTTTTGCTTCTCATAATCTCCATAATGCTCCTATATTGGTGTTATTTAACGAACTAGAACAATATATGTAAATTAACAAATTGCAAGCCAGGTACGAAGAACTTTACCGTCGCCATCATTTCAATTGCATCCATTTCATTCAGTCCCCAACTATCACCACCGCACATCATAATCATGCACCTTCCACTGTATATCATCATCACTGCATTGCGATAGTTTTATCTTGTATCTTAATTCAATTACAAACCTATCATAAATTCCAAATTAAAAAAAAGTTCATTTGCGTAATTTAAATTAAAGAAATTTAATTTTTATAAAATGATTTAAGAGACTAAAATCATAAAATCTAAATTATAAGAATTATATGTAAATTAACGCATGTTTAGATGTAAACTTTTTTACAAAATAATTGTTTTAAAAAAATTGAAAAAGTAAATACCGTTTTTAAGAAAAAATGAGTTAAGTGCAGTTCCAAATCAATCAAATTTAAATATTTTTTACAATTAAAAAATATCGTCAAAACATTCCAAAAAATATTTGTTTATCAATTAAATAAGCCAATTCAAATTCAAATACCCATATAAACATTCAGTAAAGTGTAAAATATTTAAGGTATCAAATTTTGTCTAAATTATATTAAAATATTAAAAAATATTTATATAATTTTTAAATATATCACTAACTTTATTACTAAAATTGAAAGTTATGATTACATATAATAGAGTATAAAATATTTTTTTCATTTTTTAAAACACTATAAATTTACTAATATCCAATCCATTCCACCAATCTATCTCGAATTGAGATTAATTTGAATGAGTTTAATTAAAAATAGGCTTAGGCTATTTTTTTAAAATTAAGTTAATAAAATTTTATATTGGAGTTAACAATAAATTAAATAATATAAATAAGAGATTTATGAAATTAAATTACTTAAAATATTTGTTGTCATTTAAGTTTAAAGTTGGTATTTTTTTTAAAATATGTAAATTTAATTCACATTTAAAATATTAATTTGGTATTCAAGTTTAAATAAAAAACCAAATTTTTATAAAATAATAGAAGGGTAAAATAAAAAATAAAAAATATGAAGAAAAGCCTAAATAATAAAAAATAAGTATTAAGATAATAAATTTTTATGTTAAAAAAATATAAAATTAAAATTTATAAATTAAATTATTTAAGACATTTTATAATAAATAAGTCATTCAAACTCATAATTTAATTATTTAAACATTCATTTTACAAATATTTAAAAATAATAATCTATATAAATATCATAAGTGAAATTTTTTATTAAAATACATTAAATATACTTGTTTTGATAAATATTTATTAATAATAACATATATAAACTATTTTTTACAAACTTTATATAAAGTCTTTTAAACGAATTTTATAATAAATTATATAATTTATTTTTAAAAGCATTTAATTTTAAATTTATCAATTTAATAATTTAATTATCCATAACACCAAAATTAATATATTTTATTTATAAAATAGATTGATCTGATTTACTTTTAACATTATTAAATGTCAATACGATTAAATTAAAATTGAGTAAAAAATGAGCCCTATAAAAATTTGAAGCATCAGATAAAGACTGACAAAAACCTGCCAACCCCGTTGCAATTACACCGCAGTAACCATTTTCTGGTGTCAGAACAAAAACATGGACACACACACAAATCCAAATCCAAAACCACCATCACCCATCACCTGAATCTCCTTTCACTCCTCAAACCGGTTCTTCCACTCGCATTCGGTTCTTTTTTCCGAACCGGAATGGCCGGAGCGTTGGAGTGCTGGTCGAGCCGCGGCAACGGCGACGAAGACATGGTGGAGCAAGTCCTCATGCGAAAACCACAAGACCCAACAACACCTCAACCCCCCAAAGACTCTTCCATCGTCCACAAGAAGTTTCAGAAGCTCACGCGCAATGTTTCCGAAGCCATTGCGTCACTTAAGAACTCTCTCAACATTAACGTTAGTTTTGAATCTTCCAAACCCGATACTTCTCGTAACCTTGTTTGGGGAACCGTTGTTCGTAACCTCACTCAGCTTTACCCTGGTAGCCAACTTCCCGAGAAGCTCGTTTGCAACGTTCGCAAGCACTACGATTCCTTGCCTCTCAGGTTCGGATTCCGAACCTTAAATTGAATTTGGGTTTCGTTGGTTCGGTTACGCTGTTTTGGCCTCTAAAGTTTGCATCTTTTAACTTGGTTCGTGTGAATGTGGATGTCAATCTGGTGTTATTGAGGTCTCCACTTCAATGATGGTTTTTTTTTAATCTGGGAAATGGGTTTTTGAGTGGTGATCCAATGTGGATGTGAAATTGTGAATGTTAATCTGCTGTGTGTTGAAGGTCACTGAAGTGATGGTTTATTTTTTCTTATTTTTCGGTTTTTTTAATGTGTGATCAAGGAGACACGATAAGAAATCAATAATAGTAAGGTTTTATTGAAATTTGTAGCATTAATAGATATAAATACATTATTTTTGTAGTATTGGATCGTGTGATTTTGGTAAAAATACATTATACATATATTCTCATTGTGTGACAAGGTTACACGTTTGACAAATCTTTTTCTTTTCCTCCTTTAGGAATTCGGTTTTTCTTCCTTCTATGTTAGAAGCTCTGAAGTTTGAGCCTTTCAATTTGGGTAGAGTTGCAATCCGAATGTGAATGATAATGTGAATATTAATTTCAATGTTTTGGTTGTGTTCTTTTCTCTTGAAAAAGTGATTTTTTTTGTTTTCAGTTATTCTCAAGCGGGTTTTGATGTGAAAGATGTGTTTCTTCACATAAAGTTGATGGAACAAGCTTTGGAAGATGAGCAGGCTGCGATTTTGATTCAAGAGGAGGGTGACGGTGAGATTCAGCTTCAGGGGACTTTGTTCAAGTTGACATTTGCTTGCAACTCTCCAATTTCGTGGCCTGCAATGTCAGCTGTGTTGGATAGTTACTCCATCTGCTGCAAAAAGATTCAGATCTTTGAGAAGAAAGGTTTCACCCTTGGCATTGTTCTTCTTCTTGTTCTATCTGGGACTGGGCAAGAAAAGTTGGTTAGGACCCGGGTTGAAAGTGCTCTCAAGATTGCCATGAAGAGGCCCAAAGCCAGTGCTGTGAAGCTTCCGTTCGGGCTTTGTGGATGTCAAGAGGAGAACTCCAGTGGTAGAGAACTTGGAGAGATTGAAGAAGATGTTGGTGATACATACTGTGGAAACATGTTTGAGAATTTGAGCCAAAAGATTCAGCTTCAGATGCCCTTGCCTAGTTCATCTTTTCTTGTATCGGTAGATGAATGGCAGACTATTCAGTCAGGTGGGGATGAGATCGAAAAGTGGTTGTTGGACTCGGATAGTCTTGAGTTTTCAGAACAGATTGGACCAAATTCATTTAAGGGGACCTACATGGGGAAAAGGGTTGGCATTGAGAAGCTTAAAGGGTGTGAGAAAGGGAACTCTTATGAGTTTGAGCTCAAGAAAGATCTGCTAGCACTGATGACTTGTGGGCATAAAAATATTTTGCAGTTTTGTGGTGTTTGCGTAGATGACAATCATGGGTTATGTGTAGTGACGAAATTCATGGAAGGCGGATCTGTTCATGACTTAATGTCAAAGAACAAGAAGGTTCCAAGTAAGGATATCGTAAGAATTGCAGTTGATGTGGCCGAGGGCATCAAATTTATGAATGATCATGGTGTTGCATACCGAGACCTTAATATACAGAGGGTTTTGTTGGATAATCATGGGAATGCTTGCTTGGGCGATATGGGTATAGTCACTGCCTGCAAGAGTGTTGGAGAGGCAATGGACTACGAAACTGATGGTTATCGGTGGCTTGCTCCAGAGGTTTGCCCCTAATCACACTCTTTTCAAATTTGTGAAATAATTGCTGGTCCCGAAAATCTTTTAACATGTTATAATTTCTTTCTATATAATTCTCTTATTCCTAGCAACGTGTATCTCAATCAGATTTGTTTAGAAGATTCAATTCTGGCCAGCATTACAAAGAAAACAAGGTTTTTTTTTGGCTTATAATGCTTGTATAGCTATACTTGGTGTCATTACTCTAGAACTTTAGAACACTTGTGTTGAGCTGTATAATAACAACATTTCTTGAAAAATTTAAATATTATTTTAGATGCGTTTGAGCCTGATTTGTTCTTACTAAAGCCTGGGGATCAAATTGTTAGATGGTTTTTCTTCTCTCTATTTCTCTATATCTGGTTGTTTTGTTTATTTCCTTTTGCACTTAATTAAACTAAAGTTCTAATCTAAAGTATTTGAGCTCTTTTATCTTTGGTGTCTGCTCTTTATTATGGACTGTTTGGTTCAAAAGAGAGGAGGGGAAATAAAATTGTATCAATATTAGAACAGCCCAACAGAGGCAAAAGTTGAAGGGGGAGTATTCCTTTCCAATGGAATAAAATTTAAGGGCTAGCTGATCACAAAACAAAGTGCTAGATTTCAGCCAGCAACGTATAGTAACATTTTGTTAGCTTTATTGCCTGGATGGATGTTGTTTAGATCCATTGCATGTGGAATGCAATGCAGATCTAGCCTAGATTTAAAATATGCATTACGTCACTTGTCCAGGCATCATTGTTTGAGCATGCCTAACATGTCATAATAATTGTTTTGTGCTTTCACTTTATATGGTGTATGCCTTTGTTTAAACACTACAGTATATCATTAGGCAAATCAGTGTGGCACTCTGTAATGTCAATTATACCTGAATTGATTTAAAATGGAGCCTGCACATCGAAAAGGTTCAGCATGATCTGTCCCAGTATTGCAGTTGTTTTTGTCCTATTGATAAAGCTACTTGGAGCCTTTCAAACCTTGTCCGCAGGCAGAAAATTATGAACAAAAACTATCCAATAAAACTGTTCTTTCACTGTTTCACAGAGAAAAGAGAGAAACAATTTGAAGCCAATAAAAAAAAATGCTCAAAGGACTAATTTAGTTATCCTTATAATTTTATTTTCCCCAACATTCTAAACAAAAATAGAAATTTACTTCAATAAAAACAAAGAAAAATTTATAAGTTGAAAGTGTAATTTGGTGCTACTTGGCTTTGTATTTGTATGATTGATAGTGTATGAATTTTACTGTATTTTTACATGAATGTAATATTGCATATGAATTTGTGTCCATTTTTTTATTCCATACCACAGGAATTGTCTGTCCCCCAAGCTAACTAGCTTCTTATCCCTCTTTTTTTCTTGAAAACAGATAATTGCCGGCGATCCAGAGAGTGTCACAGAGACATGGATGAGTAATGTTTATAGTTTTGGCATGGTAATTTGGGAGATGGTAACTGGTGAGGCAGCATACTCTGCTTATTCACCTGTGCAAGCAGCAGTTGGCATTGCTGCTTGTGGCCTTAGACCTGAGATCCCAAAGGACTGTCCTCAAACTCTTAAGTCTCTTATGACAAAGTGTTGGAACAACACCCCTTCAAAACGTCCTCAGTTCTCTGAAATTTTGGCAATATTGCTGCGACCAAACAACAACAGTAGGTAAAGTTTTTTGTGTGTTGATAGTAATTGATACCAAACGTCCTTTGTCAAGGGAGCTTCATACGTAAGCATGAATTCTCTGTGCTTTTTATAATAGTAATGAAAGATGTAAAGTTTCCTTTACACTTTTCTTTTTTTGACAATTTTGTACAATCACTTTATGATGTCTTTGCCATCATTAATCAACATCTTTTTTTCTTATGATGGCAACCTGAATGATGGAAATGTTAAAATACGTTCCACATTGTTGGGTTATGAGTAGATGAAAACTAGGATCATTCTATGACGAATAAAAAAAAATCAATTTTGGGGGCCTACTTCATTTGTAAGCTAATAGGTTCTTTTGTTCTTTTCATGGCTATCCTAAGGGTCCCATTTAATATTGTGTTTCTTTAGTTGTGCATCTACCAAACACCATGTTTCCAATTTTCCTGATATATCCAACCTTTTCATCTTTTCTGGACCAGATCGATGTAACCTATTTCCAGTTTGTGCTAGGAACATAAAATTTTATGCATATCTGCTTCCATGGTCATATTGAACCTATTTGGAAGTTGTTATAGAAGGGAATAATGCAACAACTTTCTCATCTTGAACTATTGATTCAAGTCACGTCTAGGAATTATATTAATACAGTGTGATGTTCTACCTAGACTTTAGATTTAATTTTGGTTGAATTTATAAATAAATAACATAAAAAACAAAGTTTTATGCATTTCAGTTGTGATTATATTAAAGCACTTCTATGATCGTGAAATCTGTGTTAATGAGAAACATTATTTTTGTTCTTTTTTCAATAAAATGCTCTTAAAAGGGTTGCATGATAAACTAAAATATCAACTTATCATGTGCTTCTTTGTGGTATAATAATCGGAGCCAGTGAAAGGTTTTGAAACGAGGAATCTTAGCATTATGACCGGTCCAAATCTGACCCGAGGCAGCTTATGACGCATGTGAATGTGTCACTGTGTCAGGATTGTCTTTTTCTTTTTCCCCTCATTTTGCTGAATGCTAATATTTTACGGTGGATGATTAGAATATACTACTTTCCCTTTTATTCGAGGAAATGCTCATTTTAGACTTTAAAATTGAAAATGTTATTTAATTATATTATTAATTTTATAAAAAAATTATTTTAGTTTATATGGACAAAAAAGGTAATCGTAGTTAATATTATTTTAAAATTTTACATAAATAGATAAATAAAAATAAGTTTTTCCCTTTGTTTATAGATGAAGAAGAATAAATGTAATATCGTGTTATTAATGTTTTACGTCACTCCTTAAAACTAAACACTTAAGGCTTCTCGCATAAGTTGATCAAAATCGATTACATTCTTCTGAGATCTTTAAAACTAAACACTTGATCATTTGCCTAAAATGCTGCCATGGAGTTAAAATTGGATTTTTTTTTATTCATCAACAATAGACATCAACAGTGTACATTTTAACATTATGTGTGCATGATTTATGCCAAAAAGTGTATGCACAGGACATTTATCGAACGACATGTTTGGCATACCTTTTATTTGTGAATTTCTTTTGAAAAGAAAAAAACTATATCTGTAAAAATAAATTATTTTATTAAATGAGCTAATTACAAAATGTACTAAACCTTATATTTGCTTGTACACGAAATAGCTTTGCGAACTGTAAGACAACATAGAAGCTTCTGTTATAAAAGCTACATATGTTGAATTGATGCATTGAAAGATGGCAACTAATGTAGAGATAAAGTCGACAATTTCATATGAGCCTGTTTCACATGGCAAAGACCGATCAATTCATTGAATCAAATAATGATTTGCAAACTATAAATTTATTTATGAAAATAATTAATACTTTTGAAAATTAATTTTAAAAAATATGATTCTAATTTGAAAATGTTAGTTGAGAATATTTTTCATTATTATAAAAGATATATATTTCTTCTTAAGTGAAAAAAAATTACAAAAAGGTAATCATTGAGTGACGAATCAGAAACCCATAAGTGTTGCGCAAACAGGTTACTAGCGAGAGTCTTGGAAATTACCCTTTCTTTTTTCAAGATATCAATATGTGTATACTTTAATTTATCTTAATATAAATGAATTTGTTGTGGTAATTGATGATTATGAATAAGTTTTTTAGGAGTAATTTTATTTTCTTTTCAATTTTTAATTTTAGCACATGAAATGGTATTTTGAAGACTTACATTATTAGTTTTGAAACTTTATCAACATTATTTAATATTTCAAAATCCTAAATTCGGGTTATGAATTCAAAATCAGTTGTTGAACATAAAAAGAGAAAATATAAAATATAGATTTATATTACAATAGATTAAATTGTAACACACTTTAACCTCTTAAAAAAATTATGTGATTTATATTTCAAAATAATTAAAACTAATAAACTTGAGCCAAATAAAATTATCTGCAACCTAGTATCAAGCTTAATTACATCTCATTTATATTTGGATTGAAAATGTAGTTGTTAATGGAGGTTTTTTGCTAAAATGCTGCAAAGTAAATAGTTTGGGCCTTGAACCATAGTGGGCAATTTTATTTCGGCCTCACTGTCATTATTTTGGATTGAAAATAATATTCCTTAATTAGTTAATATGTTTGGAAAAGTTTTGATGCTAATTTTTATTTTAGGTGCGATTAATATAATTAACTATCTAAGTTAGTATTCTCACTTATAAATAATAAGCGTAAATTTTTAGGAGCAATTAAATGTATTTCTCCAATTTAAAATTTCCATAATTATGTAAGATAATTAAGAATATTAAATGTTAAAAAATTTTCTAAGTTAACAAAAGTTTATATAAAGTCAATATTGAGTAGTGTTATATTTTTCTACTGTTTGTTTTAAATTTCTACAAATTCTCATGATAATTAATTAAGAGACAGAAATATAAATATACTTAATGTCCTCAAAATATAAAATGCATTTTTTATTCAGCAAACTGAAAAATTAACAAATGAATAAAATTTATGTTAGTTTCTACAATAACTCTCTACAAATATACTAAAATCATTGTTTGTTTCTTTCAATTTTTTTGAGAGTTTTAGAAAATAAAACCGTTATTTTAGAAATTTAAATTAAAAATACTATTAAACAACTAATTTAAATAAAAGTAAGAATTTTTAATAATAATAATAATAAAATTGTCTACAAGTTTTATTTGTTAATAAAAAATAACAATTAAATCTATAAAATCAAAATATAAATGTAAGAAACAATACAGCGCAGCCGCGTAGAAGAGCTAGAATGTAAAAGTACAAATATAACTTTTCTTTCTTTTCACTTTATTTCTAGCATCTTCTAGATTTTTCTTGCACTGTTGGATTCCATGCTCGACGGAACACGGTAAGAGCCGTATAACCCAACGCAAAGGTCGTTGATGTAAGGGAAAAGGAAAAACGACGACGTATCACGGCCTTACCAGTTTCGTTTATCTAAACGCTTCTCGTTTTGCCTCCTCTGTCGTCTCTTCTCTCTCTGAGAAAACCAAAGAGGGAGAGAAGAAATGGTAGCACCTGTCATGTCCTCATTCCAAACCCTAGAATAGTAGAATCCACTTTCTTTGCAAATCCATAAATACCCTCACTCACTCTCTTTCTTACGAAAAATAAAAACCCAAAATTCTTAGAAAGAGAGAAACATTAACACAAGCAACAAACGCAGCACAAACCCGAACGAAAAGCACCACTTTCTCTCTCATTTTGTCTCCGATTCTCGGCTTCCAATCAGGTCCCATTCCTCTCTTCCTTCGCACCGAAGTTCCAATCGGTACGTTGCTTCTCCCTTCCCTAATCGCTAATAGTTAATCTCCTTCCATTTCTTGCATCGCTGTTTTGTACTTGAATAGTACTCATGCTTCGTGAGCTAGGGTTAGGGTTTTTCCTTGTCCTGATTCCCTTGATCGTTGCGCGGTTTCTGTATCTTGCTTTTGACTTCGATCCACTTGGCGATCGCGGTGTTAGTTCTTGGTTCTTGATTGCTTTTCTTGTTGCTGTGTTGACGGTTCGGTTTCGTGGCGTGTTCAGCAGTTCACTGCACTATATGCTTCCAAGAAAGAGACCCTGCGAAGGAGAGGTTGTAGAAGAAGAGACCGACAACAGTTCCTTTTCCAAGAAGAATCGGATCGCCGCCGCAACTGCCGATTCCACGGTGAGGAACGGTGACCGGAGCTTTAGCGGCAGCGACAATAACAGCGACAGCGGGAACTTGCGTGAGGGAGCGTTAGCTATGGCTTTAGGCGATTCCAACCCGCCAGATATCGATGAGGATCTGCACAGCCGTCAACTTGCCGTTTATGGTCGAGAGACCATGCGGAGGCTCTTTGCTTCTAGCATCCTCGTCTCAGGGATGCAGGGTCTTGGCGTCGAGATTGGTAAAATTTTTGAATTCTTGTGTTCTATTAAAGGCTTTTTGCTGTTATGGACGTCTCGGTTTGGTTGTGGTGGTTCTTGTTTGCTGAATTTAGGAGAATCTAAGAATTATGGATCATACATCCACTCATATAATAAATTCGATTTGTGCCCATCTTAGTTGCTGGTAAAACTCTGTTAATGGTTCTCTCCCTCTTTTTCCTTGCGCTTTCAGTTTCTTGCTTTTTGTAGATGAAAATTGTTCAGTCCTTAGCGAATGAGATTGATGCTGGTAGATTTAGTGATTTTGTGCTTAGCAAACCCTGCCATCTGGAAAAGGAGGCAGAGTAATGCAACTGTTCCGAGTTTTGGTCCTGTTAATTGTTGTTAATGATGATAGATTTCTATTGAAATAAATGCAATCTGATTACATTCAGAATTGTTTTATTTTAATGTTCGGTCAGGCTATTTGTTATCTGTGTCTTGATGGACTGCTTTGATTCTTCATTGTTGCATCTTCTTTGGCTGCCGTTCTACTTGGAAGTCCTCAGAAACCATTTGTACTGCATTCAATTTAGAATAATGAACTAGTGTCTTGTAATTCATAATTTGAACCATATTTCTGGATTTGTGACTTGATTTCTCATGTAATGGTTGTGCTATTTAGGTTCAAACTTCGAATAGTGCTAGCTCTTTAATTTTAAATCAGGTTTTTGGATTCTAATAAAGTTTACTGCCTGCAGCAAAGAATCTCATTCTCGCTGGTGTCAAATCTGTGACTTTGCATGATGAGGGGACTGTAGAGCTGTGGGATCTGTCCAGTAATTTTGTGTTTACAGAAGAAGATGTTGGTAAAAACAGGGCAGTGGCTTCTGTAAGTAAATTGCAGGAGCTCAACAATGCAGTGGTTGTCCAGAGCTTGACAACTGGGCTGACAAAGGAGCTCCTTTCTAAGTTTCAGGTACCTCATTCTAGTGTCTAATCTTCCTTTTTGAGTGAATTTCTATGTTGAAATGTATTGTATGTGAATTAGTACTGCTAACTTTCACTTCTCAGTCATGGCAGAATATTATTTGTTAATTAATTCATACCATGATAGGTTTTGTAACGGCCACATAGCTGCTGCAGACAGGGTCAACAGTAGTAGTGATTATTGTTGCATATCACATTTGCTATCTTTAAAATTTTTTTCTAGTAAATGAATCACATTGGTAGGGATACACTATTCTGTATGTTTTATTTGTTGCCTCTCTTCATAAGATTAATCCTTGTTTGGTTTGTATAATTCTCAAGTAATGTAACACTGGAGATTTTCCTTGTTTATTGTCTAATGTTGTAATGTAACGTGAAGTCTTGTCTTATTTCCAACTGTAAATACATTTGCGTCTGGTTTATTTAGGTATATTTACAGTTTTTTTGTTAACTATTTTGTAGGCTGTTGTTTTTACTGATATTAGTCTGGAAAAAGCCTTTGAGTTCAATGATTACTGTCACAGTCATCAGCCTCCTATTGCTTTTATTAAAGCTGAAGTTAGAGGCCTTTTTGGTTCTGTGTTTTGTGATTTTGGGCCTGAGTTCACTGTTTTTGATGTTGATGGAGAAGAACCCCATACTGGCATAATTGCATCCATAAGCAATGACAATCCCGCTCTAGTATCTTGTGTTGATGATGAGAGGCTTGAGTTTCAGGATGGAGATCTTGTTGTATTCTCTGAAATTCATGGTATGAAAGAATTGAATGATGGAAAGCCAAGAAAGATTAGAAATGCTAGAGCATATTCTTTTACTCTTGAAGAAGACACCACAAATTATGGTATCTATGAGAAAGGTGGTATTGTCACGCAGGTCAAACAACCGAAGGTATTGAACTTTAAGCCACTCAGGGAAGCACTCAGTGATCCCGGCGATTTTCTTCTGAGTGATTTTTCAAAGTTTGATCGCCCAACTCTCCTTCACTTAGCATTCCAGGCTTTGGATAAGTTCATTTCTGAGTTAGGTCGCTTCCCTGTTGCTGGTTCAGAGGAAGATGCACAGAAGCTTATATCTTTTGCCACTAGTATTAATGACAACTCAGGTGATGGGAAATTAGAAGATATAAATCCCAAACTTTTGAGACACTTTGCTTTTGGTGCTAGGGCAGTATTGAACCCTATGGCTGCCATGTTTGGTGGAATTGTTGGACAAGAGGTTGTCAAGGCATGCTCTGGGAAGTTTCACCCCCTTTTTCAGGTAAACATGTTTTTAGTGTCTTGTCATTTTCTCTTGGTATTTTGAAATATTTTATATTGTGCTAGTGAAACTGACTTTAGGTGATATATCTTTTGGTAGAATTGCTTTCCCTTTTAAGTAATTAGCTGATTGATGGTGTGTTCAGTTTACTGTTTCAGCTGATGTTTAATTTTGTTGTTTCTTTTATAATATTCTTTACCTGTTGAATGCAGTAGAATTTATCCAATCTAGTTTCTAAATAAGATAGATTCATTGTTGAGTCTTAACTTCTGTTGGGCCTGATTGTTCTATACATAATTTGATCTTGACTATGAATCAGTTGTTTGATTTCCTTTTCCTTTGTATTTTATTTGTTGTTTGAGTATTGGATTTATGGAAGGATGCCTTGGTACAATGGTTAGAGTTGAGGGCATGTGACTAGGATGTCATTAATTCAATTTGTGGAATCAACCTCTTGCAAATGCGAGGTAAGGCTGCCTAATATAAATTCATAAACTTTTAAGAGGATGAAAAGTGGTGAAACAATTGATCCCAAAAAAATTCCTGTGGTAATTTGGGAAAATAAGGACTTAAGTGACTCATTTAGCTCTTTAATAAGATCTTGAGATTTAAATGTAAGCCAAATGAATGGAAGAACACTTTGGTTACTATATATAAGTCGTGAAAACTATAAAAAGATTAAACTTATGAGCTATACTATTAAGTAGTAGGAAAATGTGATTGAACATAGAAGACAGGAAGAAATTGAGTTTGCTGATGGTAGAGAAAATGTGCTTGAGTAGAGAAAGACATTTAAAGTTATTTGTGATGGTAAAATATTTATTAAGCTGAAAGAAAAGTTTTGTTGAGATGTAATATGACCAGCTGTTATATATAATAATGAATGATGATCTTTAAAGGAATAACATGAAAAGAAAGTGGGAGTGGTAGAAATGAGAATGTTAAGGTTGATGAGTGATTGCTCAAGAAATGAGAATGTTAAGGTTGATGAGTGATTGCTCAAGAAATGATACTATATGAGAGTATATTGGAGTAGCACCTATGGTGAAAAAATGTCTGAAAATCATCTAAAGTTGTTTGATCATGTGCAAAAAAAAAAAAACTTTGGGGGCATTAGTTAGAAGGGTGAATTGCATAATATTTTTAGTTATTTGTCCAAAATGAGATTGAGCGGTTTGGGGTCAATACTCCAATGCAACGATCATTTTGGTGGTCAGCAACTCTTAATAGGGGACTTACTTTCAGTTTCAGGTCAATACCTAATGCTTCCTTTTCTTCTCTCAACTTTGTTCTTATTGGCTTCATAGATGAGTATGTAGTTGTTAATCTCGGATAGCCACAAATAGTGGCTGACCCCTAAAACTCTAAAGCTCTGTTCACTGATTACTCATATATATATATATATATATATATATATATGAGTAATCAGTGAACAAAAAACTAAAAAAACAGAGCTTTATCTCCTTCAGCAAACAAAACAGAGCTTGAAGCAAGAGTGATAAGTGAACAGTAAAACAGCAGAAAAGCATAGCTTTATCTCCTTGAAGCAAGAGTGATCAGTGATTGGAAAAACAGAGGAGATGCTGGAAAAGCTGATTTCTCTGGCAAAATGCAATGGATGAGCTGGTGAAGAGGGGAGAAACTGCTATGTTGGGGCCCCGGCTTTTCGTGCAGAGAGGCAGTGTGTGGGGAAGATGAAATCAATATACATATTTTATAAAGTGCAAATGACGGGAAGATGAAATCGATATACATATTTTATAAAGTGCAAATGACCTTTCTACCCTTAAAAATAATTAAAACGCCGTGTTTTAGCAAAAATCAGAATAGGGTTTCTTGCTTTTCCAATTTTGTGCAATCGCACACAGCAAACTTCTTTTTCTGGCTGCGAAACCCCTGCAATTGCCGCCACATGAGAAACGCTTCGTGATGTGGCAGCCGACTGCCGCACTGTGCTGCACCTGCACAATAGCACTGCTATAGTGCACTATTTCTCCATCCTTTTATGGATGAGTACTTGCTTCTTTACTTCATCTTTATATGGGTTTGTGTTTGTATAGTATGTTTAATGTTATATTATCTAGACACCGGTATGACACTTTGAAAATAAGCTTTTATAGTTCCATTGATGGTATAAGGTTATAAGGTTACACTTTGAATATTTATGAGTATAGGATTTCTCCCTTCATTGCATGTTTTACTTTAGCCTTATGGTTCTGTGTCTTTGTTTTGATTGACTATTACAACTATGAACAAACGATCCTCTCCTGTAAACATGTGAAATATGAAGAAATCAATCAATCATACGATAATCTTCAATGATGGAAAGAATAGTGGCACATGGATAATGATCATTCTGCTTTTGTTGAGTAAGGTGTGAGTGTGAGGCTAATTGACAATCTGTATCAATCCACACCTTTCTCTCAAGCAAACTTTAAAACTGTTAAGATACTACAAAGTTCAGCAAGATGAGCATCTATAGACTGTCCAGACAAAGGTTTTAATTCTTTGAGGGGCAGTCAACTTGTGGATGGATTTCCAAACTTGGAAATAGGCTTGGAAGTCGCACAACTTAGTAGAGTAGTTCCAGATAGGCTTGTCATGCAGATCAGTCAATGGGGTCTCTTAACACACTATCTCATGCACTATATAGTCAGGAATGAGATGTTTAAACCTATCAATGTTCCATTGCCATTTGCATCAACCTATCTAGCCATTGTTAGACTCAACATCTCAGTTGGGATTGGTTGCTATTTCTTGTATGTTTTGCTTAAGAGCTTTGACTTTTTAATTTTGAGTATGTCATGGATGTTGAGTTTATTTTTAAAATTTTTGAGCATGTATATGTATAGTATAAATTATCTAATTTGTACTTAAAATTTCTGAATACTGATCATCTTGCCATATCATTTTTGGTGCTGGCCGCCATGTTACTATCCGAGCTTGATTCGTGTGTCCTAGAAAGAGGGTGGGAGGAGGAGAAAAAAAAAAAGCTGTGGATGCATCACCTGAGTAGTATTGATTAATTGCAACATAGGATAAATTCATGGAAGTGTCTGTAGCTGCTTTCTTTCCCTGTCATGTGTCATTTTTGCTGTGTGTGAATCGTGGGAATAGTATGGTCTTCTATTGACATAATTGAGGTAGATTTCTGTGATCTTACACCCCTTTTCTTGTGCATTAGAGGATTTTTACAAACATGATATTGTGAGTGCACATAATCCAGTGCAAGTCAAGAGATTATAGAATAAAAGCATAGTGATATATTCTGGCTGGTTTAAACTTAATTTATTGTTGTTTTGAAGTAGTGATGCATCATACTCAACAGTCATGATATTATGGTATTTTGAAGTATTGTCTTCTGTCTCTTCAATGAGAATTATTATCAAGCATATAATACTCTTGTTTTTATTATTTATTATGATTTTAACTTCTGTTCCTCTGCAGTTTTTCTACTTTGACTCTGTGGAATCACTCCCTTCAGAACAAGTGGACCCAAATGATTTCAGGCCAATAAATAGTCGTTATGATGCACAGATTTCAGTATTTGGACGGAAGTTACAGAATAAATTGGAGGATTCTAAGGTTTTTGTTGTTGGATCTGGTGCTCTGGGATGTGAATTTTTGAAAAATCTTGCTCTCATGGGAGTTTCTTGTGGAAGTCAGGGGAAGTTGACTATTACTGATGATGATGTGATAGAGAAGAGTAACCTAAGCAGGCAGTTCCTTTTCCGTGATTGGAATATTGGACAGGCTAAGTCCACAGTTGCTGCTTCAGCTGCTGCATCTATAAATTCTAGTTTTAATATTGAAGCTCTACAAAATCGAGTTGGCACTGAAACTGAAAATGTGTTTAATGATACCTTCTGGGAAAACTTGAGTGTTGTAATAAATGCACTGGACAATGTGAATGCAAGACTATATGTTGATCAGAGATGCTTGTATTTTCAAAAGCCTCTTCTTGAGTCCGGAACTCTTGGAGCTAAATGCAATACCCAGATGGTCATTCCCCACATAACTGAAAACTATGGTGCATCAAGAGATCCACCTGAGAAACAGGCACCCATGTGCACTGTACACTCATTTCCACACAACATCGACCATTGCTTGACATGGGCGCGATCAGAGTTTGAGGGTTTACTTGAGAAAACTCCCGCTGAAGTAAATGCATATTTGTCTAACCCAATTGAATATACTAATGGAATGACAAATGCTGGAGATGCTCAAGCAAGGGATAACTTGGAGCGTGTTCTTGAGTGCCTTGACTCAGAAAAGTGTGAAAATTTTGAAGATTGCATTACTTGGGCTCGGCTAAAGTATGTTCCTTTGATAGTATATACTTGTCTATCTGTTCTTACATATTAGTGTGGTCAGAACATCTTAAGTTTTCTGTGTCCTTCATTTACACACTTATTTTTCCCACAGATTTGAGGATTATTTTGCTAACCGGGTGAAGCAGTTGATCTACACTTTCCCTGAAGATGCTGCAACCAGTACTGGAGCTCCTTTCTGGTCTGCACCAAAAAGATTTCCTCATCCGCTACAGTTGTCTTCCTCTGATCTGGGTCATCTACACTTTGTGATGGCAGCTGCTATTTTACGGGCAGAAACATTTGGTATCCCAATCCCTGATTGGGTGAAGAACCAGAGGAAGGTGGCTGAAGCTGTTGATAAGGTGATAGTACCTGACTTTCAACCCAAGAAAGATGCAAAAATAGTAACAGATGAGAAAGCCACCACTCTCTCCACTGCTTCAGTGGATGATGCAGCGGTTATTAATGATCTAATAATCAAATTAGAGAGGTGCCGGAGTAATCTGCCACCAACATTCAGAATGAAACCTATTCAGTTTGAGAAGGTCTGTTTTTCCATAATTGCACTTTTCTTCTAACTGGATTTTTACTTTGATGTTCCTTCTGTGATCTTCTCAATTGTCTCATTTTGTAGTTATGTCTGAAATTGTTTGACTGGTGTAGGTTTTGTTTGCTTGCTCGGATATGAACTCATTCTTCATTACATACATGTATGTGTGTGCTTCTTGTAATTATATTTTATTAACTGATGAACTTTCTTTCTGCCATAATATCTCAGGATGATGATACAAACTACCATATGGATGTTATTGCTGGGCTTGCCAATATGAGGGCTCGGAATTACAGCATTCCTGAGGTTGACAAACTTAAAGCCAAGTTTATTGCTGGAAGGATCATTCCTGCAATTGCAACCTCAACTGCCATGGCCACTGGTCTTGTCTGCCTGGAGCTCTACAAAGTTTTGGATGGGGGGCACAAGGTTGAAGACTACAGAAATACCTTTGCTAACTTAGCACTGCCTCTTTTTTCAATGGCCGAACCTGTTCCACCGAAGGTTATCAAGCATCAAGATATGAGTTGGACTGTTTGGGACAGATGGATTCTTGGAGACAATCCTACCCTCAGGGAACTTCTGCAGTGGCTGAAGGCAAAAGGCTTGAATGCTTATAGTATTTCTTGTGGAAGTTGCCTTCTCTATAATAGTATGTTCCCTAGGCATAAAGAGCGAATGGACAAAAAAATTGCAGATCTAGCTAAGGAAGTAGCCAAGCTGGACATTCCTTCATACCGTCGTCACTTGGATGTTGTTGTGGCATGTGAGGATGATGAAGATAATGATATTGACATCCCTCAAATATCAATTTATTTTCGTTAGGTTGCTTTCATCTTGTAAGAGGTGTGTTTGAGACTTATAGGTAAAAAGGACAGCAAGTTTGATTCTCATGCTCCATATTCATAATGGATAAAGGCACATTCTTGACCATGTCAAAGTTCATATATGAATTGAAAGAGCAACTTTCATTCGTAGTACGTTGTCTTTCTTTCAATGCTTTTGGGATCTTTCTTCAATCCTGACCTAACTGTTCTTCTGCATCACATCCCCTTCCCTTCTCGTTTTTTGGTTGTGATTTCTGTTAGGTGGGTAAATGATTGGTTATTGATGTTTCAAATCAATGAATAAGCAGGTGCTGTCGAGAAGTATCACTAAAAAGGAGGATCAACTGAAGTATTCACAGGACTGATAGTTAAAATCTTTAACTACTCCGTTATTAAGAAACACAAACAAAAATTATGATAATAAATTTTGTTAAGATAAAAAATAGTAAATAGAAAGAAAATTAATTTTAAAAATTTAGAAAGTTGGATTAAGTAAATTTAAATAAATAAAGATTGTAAATTTTCTTAGCATTCAAATAATTAGATTTTTTCGTTGACTATTTAATTTTAATCTCTTAAAGTAACTTCAAAAAGTAACCTCATGTAAATAACAACGATACTCACTCACTATCTCAACATTCTCTAACTTTTCTTCTTGAAGTCTTTTTGCTCCTTATCAATGACACCCCTTCTATTCTAGAATATTTTGCACCTCTCCATACTCGAAGATATATGGCCAAAAATACAAAATAACACTATTCTGTCACTTGGTCCAATTTCACATAAACTATTTCCCTCCTTGATTTGAAAATTCAAATCGACAAACCGCAACTCAAGGCAAGTAGTGGTGGACAATAGGGAGGAGAAATGAGAGCATCGATAGTGGGAGGGTGAGTGTTAGTTTTGCCATTTACGTATTACTTAAGAATATAAAATTGATATCATTATGATAAAAATTGATAATTAAATTAAATTGTTTAATAAAAACTAATAAGTCTATATAAAAGTTTCACAGACTAATTTATTTAACATTTATAATTTTATAAATTAATGATATTACTCACTTTTATATGGTGCAAAGTGAAAAGTTAAACTTATGAAAATTGCTTGGGTGATTTTAAATATGTAATTAATTGTTAAATTAATTTCAATTTGTATTTTGCTAGTAAATTAATCTTCAAGTTTGGGGACTACGAACATAATTTTCATATTCTAAAGAATAATGTGATTGATGTTTTATCCTTGGTGTGGAAGTCAGAGCCCCGGGAGGGTTTTATTTTTATATTTATTTTTAGTTTACAAAATTAGAAGGGAGGTGAGGGAAAATGAGGGGGAGGGAGTTTAAAATTCTTTTATTTTATTATGCTATAGATTATACTAACAAAGTTATCTTTAATTTATTAAATTTTTTATAATGATATAATAGTTTATTAACTAAATAACGGTACCCACTCCTCCAAGTTCTCTCTTCCTCTTCAACTAAATAAAGTAGCTTTCATTTAAAGGAGGGGGAGAAATCATTCATGTTATTGCATAAAAACTAGGTTACTATTTTTTATTTTAGTATTCTAAAATTTAGTGGTAAATTTAGATGAGAACATTTTTAAGATTTATTTGTTCTCATTTCATCATTTGACTTCTCTTGCATTGAATATTTAATTTTTGAAGTCAATCTTAATTTTAATTTTACCTTTCTATAATTTATTTTTTAATTAAAAAATCTCATATCTTTAATTTAGTCAAATTTATCACAATAAAATATTTATTCTTATTAACAAAAATATTTACTCTAGAAGACACAGGGCATGCAATAGCTAAAAGAGCGAGGCACTATCCCTGGTTAGCACAATAATAATAATAATAATAATAATCACAGTTTTAGGATAACTAAATTGTATTTATCAATCACTTAAAGGAAATCTCTGTAGAACAAAGTCATATCACAAATTCAGTTTGCCACCATAGGCAAGGTAAGCACTGCCATCAATTTTGGATATGAACTTCATGAAGATTATCTGAAAAGCATTAATTATGATCAAACTCATTTCTATTTAGTTTTTATCAGCACCTTCATCAAAATCTTTTGCAACTCCAACCCGGAAATCCAGTTGTTTCTGATGTTTAGAACGCCGGCGCTCATCGAAATTGTCCCACCCTTCAAACTGCAAGAAATTCATGCATCACTGTCATGTAGCTGTTGTTTTTTAGGCATTTTATGCTTCAATGAACTGACACAACTAATTAGTTATTTGTTGTGTTTCAAAATATGTAATGCAAAATTAAGAGTGCAGACCTGGCGAAGGAGATCGATTGTTATTTGTGTGTTATGGAGATCCAAAGTGGAAAGCTGAAGGCAGGTCTTGAATAGTTTAGATGGAAGAGACTTCATCCCATTGTTACTAAGATACAATGCCTGCATAGTGAACAGAGTATAGGAGTAAGATGCATTTTAATTGAGGCATGAGTAAGATATATGTAGGGAAGATTGATACATATACACAGTTAATTACAACCTTCCTTACAGTATGCAAATATATGTATATATGTGTGTGTATGTATTTGCTAATATACAACTTATAATTTAGACAGTATTTTAGCAAGTTATAAATATTCCTTCTAAAATAAGTGAATGTAGGTTATATATATGAAGAAAGATTCCTAGGCACTTGCAAACTTAAATTTATGCACGTTTTTCCTTCCTTATTCCCTACCATGAAGATTCAAATTTATTAAATGCCTGAGAAGGAGAAGAGTATTGTTAAAATAAATACACTAAGGGTATATTTGATTAGTGTTTTAAAAACAGTTTTCTGTTTTTAAAAATAAAATATAATACAAATTTGTATTGAATTTTATTTTTAAAAACAGAAAACTGTTTTTAAAAAGGAAAACAAACACTAACATATTTGAAGGTATACATCTCTAGTGGGAACTTATCATGGGGGCGGGACTGTCTTACTATCAATAATTTCCAAAAGAAGGGGTGTATGTGTGATTTCACCTATACATCAAGGCAAAATCTATATAATTCACATGCTAAAAGGGATGCACACGTGAAAATTCACTATTATAAAACTGGGAAAGTCGAGTCTATATGTTAAATATTAACCAACCGTTATATGTGGTTTTTTAGAAATTAAATTAAGGGCTTCATTTAATGCATCAACATAGAGTAGTCAGAGTGTAGTTCTCAGGTACAAGAATGAAACCGAAACATCATATGATCACAGTTCCTAAACTTTTCAAATTATTTAAAGATAACAAACTAAATTGTTAATAAACCGCTGAAAACAAATCCACCTTAAATTTTCTTTTCTTATTGTGTAAACTGGGGAAAAAGGTTACCTTCAAATTGCTCAAACTGCTAAATGTCTCTGGCAATTCTGACAGAAAATTCGATGAGAAATCAACCTGCGCAACTTAGACAAGCATATGAAGAGTTCAGACATCATCTAAGAAAAAAGATTCTTTTCAGTTAATGTTATAAATTGAAATGCTGTGTCAACTAGGTAGATCCTTCTGAAAAAAGAAAGAAATGAATGAGAAGCAGAAGAACAACTCTACCTCAACAAGAGAATGGCAGTTCCCTATAAATTCACTGATGGTACTCATCCTGAAGAAAAAAGAAACACAAACCAATCAAAATAACAATTCTTTACCTAACATCACTTAGTAATTTGTTAATAAAGTTATCATAATAGAATTTACTGCAAGAGGTAGATGGGTTTTGCATAAACTTGTTCATTCAGCTAATTGATGTCATTAGCATTGTCCCATAGACTTGACTAAAATTTGATGAAAAAGATGGATAAGGGCTACTTATGACATATTCTTGTACTGGCACAAGAACAACACGGGTTTGAATCTGACCTTTGCAATTTTATTTTATTTGTTGGCTAAAAAAATAAGGATTGGATTTTTGTTTAAATATAAAATATTAAATTCATTAATATCTTCTATTTATTTTGATACACAAGGAGAGGTTTGATACAAGGGTAGCATGTAACTATATACTCATGCATTCGAAATATAACACAGAATGGACCAACATGTAAACCTAGCACCTATAAATCAATTAGATGGACCAAATAAACAAGTCAAGTATAGGACATCGATGAAACAGCGTTCTACAAAATTTGATCAAACTTACAATTGTATGAGTAAGTAAATAAATACAGGTACAGAGTTTTAAATGATACCTATTATTGTTGGCGCGCAAAACTTCTAATTGTGTCAAATGACGTATTTCATTAGGAAGGCCACCCAATTTATTATTGGAGACATGCAGCTCCCTTAAAGAGGTTAGAGGTCCTAGTGCAGATGGCAAAGTAGTTAAACTGTAGAAGACATGTTAAATAAGCAAATGACATCAAGGGACAAAATTCTCAATGAACTTGAAACATAAAGATCAGGCAAGGTTAGGTAAAAAGAATTGAAGTAATTCTTCCAAATATGCAAAGAATTGAACAAGATGAACAAAAATAACATTAATAATAAGGAATACCTGAAATAAGGGGTAATATTAGCATGAGACACAATGCAAGCAACCTCTAGTATTTTACATTAAACTCCAAAAGCCAACTATTGCAAATTATGATGGTATGGAGTATATACAATCAAAATTTTATTTGTTGTTTAATGCAAGTAAAAGAAAACAGGCATGCATTGAAATTGTAAATGATTATATTTACTCACTTATTATGGTTCAATGATAATACAGTAAGGAACTTCAGAGTTGTTAGTCCTTCCCAGCTAATTGATTCATCCACTATGTCATTTGCATTAATGAATAGTTTCTGCAACATTTTGAAAATAGCAAGTTGTGTTAAATATTACCCAACAAATATGTCTGAATGTAGACGAAACAAAAAACCTAAAAAGAGAGAGACAGAAGTTTGGGTTACCTCTAGACCAGTAAGACGAGTAATTTCTATAGGGACATTTTTAATCAAATTGTTGTTGCAATCTAGAACTCTTGCAGAACGTCCACAAACCCACACTTCATTAGGTACGGCCTATTTAATGAAATTTTTAAGAAATAAGACATTTCATACAACAATTGACGAGCAATTAAATCTCATGAAAAGAAAAATAATTTTATTTTTGTGGGTTTTCTTTTCCCTTATAGGCTGCTTAATACTCTCTCACCTTTCTGGATTCAGTAAGGTACAGAGCAATTTCTTAGTCATGAATAATCGACATTAGGCATGGTTACTCTAAAGGACTAGCCAATATTATTAATTTTTGCTTTTGATTAACAATGTTCCTTGATTCATAGCCCCCATGTTCGCATCAGCTCACTCAATGTTGCTTAGGATTATGTCATGTAATGAAGAATCCAAGATGAGTGATGTATACTGTTTACAAGCCTGCCATAAATGATGATACTGGGCAACTATCCTTCCACTAGAACAAGGTTACTAAATGGTTAATAACAATAGATTATGCCTGAAAAGTTGCAAACTGTAGATTTCAAATTCCTTATCAGATCCCCCTAAAATTTTCTTATACTGAGGGGGAAAAATCTACTATGCATTATGATGCTTTGATGGATTGTTTTGTAAATGGAGCTAATAGCCTAACTCTAATCACGTTATATTTTGAAACCATATAATATCATTTGAATAATATGATTTCAATGCAAAATGTCTTCAAAAGTTTGTCATTAGTAACACTTAGTGTGTTCCTAATCTCTCAATTTCTATAAAGCATAGACTTAGGCATGATACTGACATGACCCCAACAAGGACACACTTTGACACAACTAAGGTCCAAATTATAGGACACTGGGACAACACATGCACACACAAATCACATGAAATTATGTAAAACAACAAAAGATCTAAATTGATAATCAAGATTTGTATATTCTTGCATATTCACCTTCTTCCTATGATAATGAGTCTCACAGAATAAAAGAGGGATGCTATTTTTTAATATTTTGTATTCTAAGTTTGCTTTTAGAATGTCTGAATTTTTTTTTTCTAAAACTAGTGCTCATCCATATAGAGGTGTCAGCTCAAGCATCCAAACTAACCAAAAATATATTTTTGATCAAACAATTAATGAGGAGAGTTCAACATGTGTCATATTGGTGTAAAAAATGTATTGGACACTCCAACCCTTCAAGCAAGAGAAGTGTCCATACTTCATAGCTCAATTTCCACTTGACATCAAAATCTAAGAATCTAGACGAGTAGTTGAAATATGTGACAACACCATAAACAGTTTATTACCTCCAAGTTGCATTCAGACAGTGCTATAACTCCTGTTGCTTTCCACCGTTCCAATCTGTTCTTAACAGGAAATTTCTTCATGTCATTGCTAGAGTCTGGGTGGCTATCTTTCCTCAGTCTGGGGACAACCTGTGCGTTTTTCAAGACGGGACCATCCTATACAAGAAATTTGAAATCTTCAAGCTGTATTTTTCTGATTGCCATATAAACAAACGCAAACTATTCACATCTATAAACAGTTTTTATTTCCAATGAGAAGCTTGATAAAGTTTATCAATCTCATCTTATCATTACCACTTCTACCTAGTAACTACTAACTAGCCCCATTCATCTCCCATATGAAAAGATCCATCAAGTCTGTTCATAACCAGCTTGACAAAGTCAAAGCATTTTTGTGAACCTTTTCCATTTGTTCACATCACCCCATAACCATAAAGCTATAATTAAACATAATGATCAAATCATACAGTATAGTTAATGATCCATCATGCTATACAATAAATACAAAGCTTTATCTCACTAACTGAAGTTGGAGCCATCATGCTATAAACATAGTCGAATTTATTTTTGCTTCAAGATAAAAAATTATTGAAATTATCTCCATAGCAAAACACACACACACACACACGCCCACCAGAATATAGAGAAAGATCATGAAACTAACATTCTCAACAAAGGGAAAAGAAGAAATGAATATTAGAACATAGAATACCCCTTGATGTAAACCTTGGGAAGCCACAAGCATGAGTTTGGACCCATTAGTCAAATTGGATGCGGTCAACGTCATGGGGTCTTCCAAAACCTTTCCTGTTAGATGATTCATTCATTCATTGGTTCATTCATTTCACACATCAATGAATAAAAGGGGTTTCGTGAAAGAGAAAAAAAATGTGAAACCTTTGAAAATGAGTTTCTGGCCCCGTGGAAGAACATTGGTGGCAGGTAGAAGAAGGGATTTGAGATCTTTGATAGTTGAATTGGGTGAGATTGAGATGGGTATAGAGCCACCACTGAACTTGACGCTGATCGTTATGGTGGCATCCGAATTGTGTTCCATTTCAGCGTTTCCTATGATATTGAAACGAAGCCTGTTGTGAGTATTCGAGGAAGACCATGTATTACGAAGTTAGGAACAGAACATCACACAACACACTCTATCGTAGTTGGTTTTGGAAGGATTCAAATAACAATAGATTTTGCATCAGTAATGCCAGGGTCTCCTCTCTGGCTTATGTCTTGCTCTTTTTTTTTTTTTTTTTAAGTATACATAGCAAGTATATAATATTAAGGATTTAATTTCATTTTTATTCTTTTAATTTAAATAGGAAAAATGAAATTAAAAAACGGCATTTAATATCTAATACGTTTATGTTTATAATATTTTCAAGTTATAAGTTGCACAATTTTTACAGTTAAGATCCTTTATAATTAAAAAATATTTTTTATAGTTAAGATCCTACTATAAAACTTTTTTGTCTTTTCCTTTTATAATGATGTTTTAATTCTTAGCCAAGTACACACTTGGAATTCTAAATTCTCAATATATGCCTTTAACATGTATTTGTTTTATGTATCTGTAAGTTGAAAACTGATCTTGGTAAATTGATCTGATTATTTTCTAACATTGACTCTCTGGCCATTCCTTGGAGGGTTAGAAGAAACACCTGGATCTAGTACAGAACTGTTCTTGTTCACATGGTATTACCGAGGTTCCAATGAGGGAAATTAAAGAGTACCTTTAACATTTTTCATGCTGGATATGGTAATGTAATTCTGGCTGGCTATGAATAAAAAATATTTTCAGTGCTGACTGATAATAAAGCAAAATTGGAGTTGCTCACAGCCCATGAATTACTTGATGACAATAGAATCATGTGGCCATGTGTGAACTGGGATTAATCAAGAAAGTTCACTGTAAGAACTCAGAAGCACTTTTAAGATAGTAGACGGCAAAAAGAAGCTAAGATCCCATATTGGTCTATGTGGTCAAAGTATTACTCATAAGTTGGACAATCTTATAATAAAGTGTTTCTTCAAAGAATGTGGGAATTGATTTGGGGTTAGTGTGTTGAGCAAAAACATTAAAACATTTGTTTGGCTTGGTTTTTAATCTTATTTGTTACATTGCTGTAATTTGAATAGATTTTTACAAAAATTATTAAAAGAAATTTTTTTCTTTTAAATTAAAAATAAATTATTTAAAAAAATTTCTCATTTAACTTTTTTTTTTTAAATTTTAAAAAATAAACTGATTGAACAAGAGAACCTCAATTAAGCACATCTTGTGGCAATCCCCTCCCTTAGTTGGATTAATTAATATAAGAATCCAACCATGTTAAAAGAAAATTATGATCCAAACTGATTCCAATTTTTAAATTACATATCCCCATTCTGATGATGTTATAAACAATAGTTGGCTAGGTACTTGGGCTTTGATGACTTTGGTTTACCAAAATAAATACCTTCCAATGTGGCAGAAATTGTAAATATAGAATTTTGTGTGTTGTTATTAGGATTTATTTTAAACTTTAAAAAATTTATTGAAAAATATTTGTTATATTAAAAATATAATAAATATTTCCATTTTTAATAAGAAATACTATTTTTAAATATTCAAAATTAGTTATCAGAATTGATGTTAATATGTTTTTTATAGGTTAAGAAATTAAAAGTATTTTTTATTAAAAATATTGTTAAAATTTATTAATATCATATTTTAATAATTTATTTACTTTTAATTATGTAAATAGTGCCCTATTATTATTACAATTATGTTATTTTCAATATTAAAAGTTAATTTTAAACACACAATAATAATAATTTTTTATTAAAAATATTTTTATATTATTAATGCAAAAATATAAAAATATTTTATTATTTATATTTACTTAAATTCAATCTTGAATATTAATATTAACAACTTTTTCTTATGTTCAGAATGTGAAGAGTGACTTTTCATGGAAGCTGTTATCCAACTTTAGATACCTTAATCATAAAATAGGAAAAGAAAAACAAAATAGAATCTGCATAACCCTACAAATCAAACATTATTTAAGCTACTTTGTGTTACACTGCTGTCTAACTTTCTTCCTTCTAACAAAAAGTTTCGTGACATCCTTTATATAACATTATTAAATATTAAATAAGTATTTACTCATTCATGTTTGATGGTTAGCCCTTACAAATTACACCCTCCCACTCTTTAAAGTATTTTCCATCTTAAATGCTAAATATCTAAGCACATCAAATCACATCCTACTCCAAGATAAAAGTTACTTATACATTCTTTCTATTTTTTTTTATAAAAAATAAATAACTAATTCTTCAAAATAAAAAATTAATTATATATCATAAATTTATAGTATATTCTAAAAATACATAAATGAATATAGTAACTTGTATAAATAATGAGTAAATGTTTGATTATTATAATTCTCACAATAGATAAGGAGACAGAAAGAATTGAACAACTGATATATCTAAAATGTTTATAAGTATATAAATCAACCTTCTCTTTGGATATATCTTAATGTTAATATTATCATTTAACATACTGTTTTGTGGCAGGGTACCCCATTGGTGATTAAAAAATTGATGCAATGGAATCCTATAAATTTGCCTTTAAGCCAGGCTGTGATCCCAACACCAAACCATGGTGTAGTCAATAGTGCGAGACAGATTTTCTAAGTTTCTGAATACTCTTCTGGTAGTGAGTGTGAAATGTTTATTTAAATGTAAAAAATATAAGGGTGCCTGAGCAGTCAAGGCTAGCAATGTGTAATGCACAATGCTTCACCCAAATCAAGAAAAACCTCAACATTGGTTCACATGAATGTAAACAAGAAAAGGTGAGCATTCTAGATTGTTCAATGTTAGATTAGTCACAACATTGCATGTGGGTTGGACTTAGTGTTTACCATCTTGGATCCTTCCTCCCTCTCACTTTTTCTTACCCTGCTTGCTGCTACCACCATGTGAAACTTTTCAGTATCCACCCACTTGGTGTTGGTGGATTAAAACCTTTAGCTTTTTGGAAGCCATTGATTATGTACTTTCAAGCATGCCTTATTCCTTGATCCAGTTATAATTGCATATGACCCAAGTAGTCACATGAGCAATTCCCTTGCCCTTTTACATTCTTTAATATATACTGCTTAGTATAGTTAATTTTTACTTTTTATTTCTTTTATCGATTTTTTTTATGTGGGTTTAAGGACACAAATGAAGAAATACTAAACTTTTTTGTTTTATATCTGTGTCATGTAGAAAAAAAAAAATCTACAAAATACCTGTTTCAAATGCAATCAACATAAAATCATTCAACTAAATAGAATCCATTTAAAAAATCTCAAACAATAGAATTCAAAATCACACAATGAATAACCCTAAAGTAGTGCATGAGCTTTGAAAAAAAAAATTGTACTTAGATTTTGCGAGTTATTCCAACCATTACGGGATGTGATTCCAAGAATGAATCTTATATCAACCTTGAACTCAAAAAGGTCTTCGACTTGAATATTAAATAAAGACCCCTAGTTTCTCCTTAAGGCATTTTGGGAGTAAAAAGGGTATATGGTTTATAGACATTTTGTATTTCCAATTTTTCCCCCAAAACTCAAAAGAAAATGAGTTTCGAATAGAGTGTCCCATAACTCAAAGGAAAACTTTAGTCAGAGAAGAGAAATGATAATGTGGTTGATTAAGAGCAAAAAACATTGTTTATTGAAATTAGAAAAAGTGCCACCGAGAAGGATAAGAGGCTTATATGTACTGTGGAAGAAATAAAGGAACATTCACAAAGCAAGAAGAGCAAGAAGAGCAAGAAGAGAAGGATCTAACCAAAATCCTAATCACATTTAGAAAATTCTCAATTTAACTACGAGACAAACAATGGTTATGAGTCATGCAATTTCTCTGTCATTTCAAATTTCATTTTATTCATTTATTGAAATTTCAAGTCAAGACAAAACTCCATCAAAGTTATTAATAAACACCAGTGTTTTGTTGTTTTCCACAACTTCATCTACCAGTGAAGAAGAATAAAGGTTAGGAAAAAAGAAAATTAAATTGAAAAAAGATACTCTTTTACAAATTTTAATATTTCAATAATATAATATTAAAAATAATTGACTTTATTGTTTTCCATAACTTCATCTACATAATGAGGAAGAACAAAAGTTAAAAGAGAGAAGAAAACTAAATTGAGAAAAAAGAGACAATTTTACAAATTTTGATATTTCAAAAATATAATATTAAAATAATTGACAATAAAAACTAAATTTTTACATTTAAAAAATACTAGAAACTAAATCTTAACAACTTTTTTGAATGACTAATTTTAAAAAATATTATTTTTGTAAGAATAAAAATATAATTAAACTAAAAAATAATTATACATAGGTTGTTATTATGTATCTTTTTTTTTCATCTAGAATGTAAATATTTTTTTATTAAAGGCCATTAATCCTATTTAAATTAAGTACAATTATTATAAATAATAAAATTCTTCCTCTAAAAATTCAAACTTAAAATTATATATTAAATTAAAATAACCTCTATGAACTGATACATGTGTTAAGTAGGATATATCAAAACCAACATTAAAAAAAAACCTATTTATTTATTTATTTATTTATTTTCTCCTCTTCAAACCTACAATAGAAAAGAAAATGATACTATAATAACAAAAGAAACATCAATGCTGTCCTAATTGGTGTTGGTTGTGCTGCCAGTGTCTGCTGGTAGAGAGGATGATTCAAGCAAGTGTTGATCTGTGCAATTAATGAGCATTCGGCTCTGTAGCTTCAAAACATCACCCTCTCGAGTCATTCTCGAGTATTGATGAACCATCCTTTATGGCCAATTTCACTTCACTCTGCCGCAAATCTTGAATTTTCATTTCCCATTAATGTTACATTTTAAAATACTGTAATCAAATTCATGGTATTTACCTGCAGGGAGAGAGCTCTTATCCTTTGTATTATTTTGCTACACATTTTTCATTCGACTCTCTGTTGCGTGCATGCGAGTACATAGTATAAAAATATTAAATTATTTAAAACACACAATGAAACTAAAGTATCAAATTTAATTATTTAATAAGAGTTACAATATGGTAACGATCTGAAGTTTTATTAAACCGGATCAAGCAAAGATAGAACATGGTAATCTCATTCTGAAATTATGGCAAACTAGTACATTAACCATGTACTTCTAATTAAGGTGACGAAAGTGCTTCTGCAGCATGTGGAGCCTGTAATTAGGATGTATATATATTTGTTTTTTCATCTTTGTTTTTTCAAAATGAGTTCATGTTTATTCAAACTTCAACATGGGCCTCTCAATCTTTCCCAATCTATCCTTTTTCCCTCTTAAACCCCCCATAAAAGCAAAATAAACCAACCCTTCAACTACCTTAACCACCCCCACAATCTCCCTCTCCACTCTTCCTCCATCTTCATACTATTACCTCTTTCACACTCACTCCCTAATCCTTCAACCTCTCTCTTTCTCTCATAAACAACAAAAGATACAAACCTTCCACTTCTGCATCTCCTTCCCCAGTCACCAAAATCCAAACTTTAATCAATTCTACCCTTTATTCCAAACAAACAAACAAAACAAAATCCAAAACACCCCATTTACTAATTCTTTCAAAAATCTCACCTTTTTCCCTACCAAACTCACTAAATAACCCTAAATTAAAAACAAGCTTGCTTCGATTTTAGTTTCCACCTTCAATGTGGCGACCATGGAACAAATCAACTTCATCTTCATTCTCTTGTTCTTCCTTCAAAGACATTCAAACCCTCTTCTTAGATGAACCCTCCACTGCCAAACCCAAACCCTCCATCTTCCACCGAGTCACACTCGCCAACTCGCTCCTTCGAGCCTGGTCAACTCACCCCAAACTCACCTATTCCGTCTCCCCTCACGCCCCCGACGATCCACGCGCCATCCAACCGCGCCCTCCTCGTTCGGAGCAGCGCGTGGTGGTCTACTTCACGAGCCTGCGCGTAGTCCGTCCCACGTTCGAGGATTGCAAAACGGTGTGTTCCATCTTGCGTGGGTTTCGCGTCGCTTTGGACGAGCGAGACGTGTCCATGGATTCGGGTTTTCTTTCGGAGCTTCGTCGGGTCACTGGTCGGAAAACCGGGTTCACCCTGCCACGTGTTTTTATTAACGGGAGGTACGTCGGTGGGGCCGAGGAGGTGAGGTGGCTGCACGAGAGTGGCGAGCTCAAGAAGCTACTCGAAGGATTGCCCGCAGCTGATTCTCACTTGCGCTCGTGCCACGTGTGCGATGATCATAGGTTTGTTCTTTGCGGGGAGTGTTCCGGTGCGCGCAAGGTGTACGCGGAGAAAGGTGGGTTCAAGACGTGTGCTGCTTGCAATGAGAGTGGCCTGATCAGGTGCATCTCTTGCTCTTGTTGACTATGTGCACCCGCATCTTCTTCTTTCTCTCTCTCTCATGAATCATGATGATCTTTTTCTCGTCGCAGTTTGAGTGAGTGGGACCAACATAATTAAAATAAAAAAAGACAATTTTTTTTTCAAATATTTAGTTTTTTTTTTTTTTGGTTATATATATATATATTTTATTTTTTTTGGGTTATTCAGTTTTTATAGTTTTATGGGCATTGTAAGCAATGTGTAGGCCCAAGAGGTGTAGATGAATGGAATGTGAAGCCCATGCTGGCTAACTCGTCTTTCTTACCTAATCACATTCTTCTCTTTTTGCCTAAGCTAATTGTATGATTATATATATATATTGGATTTTCTTTATTCTCAAACAAATATTTGCAAAATCAAGTTTATGTAACCACGAATAAATTATGTACATTTTTATCATAAGAAGAAAATAAGCTAGGCTCCTTTTTCTTCCTTATAAAAAAAAGTGGGGTTGAGAATGCTTCTGGATTGTTATCTTTAGTGGTTTATTTTTCTTCTCAGTAGTAAAAAATTAAGAACCAAATGAAAAATGACTTTTAATCTAAGTTGTGTAATTGAAATTTGGATATAATAGAGTTTGGATTTGAAATCAGTTAGTGTAATGAGGTGGTTTAAAAAAGCATAGCTTAACAATTACTGATTTAATTTAACTTACAATAAATTAATATTTCAGGGTAAATTATGTATCTTTGATATTAGATTCTAAATTTAGATTGAAAAGGTGTTTTTAATATATATGATTGTTATTAGTTCATTATAAATTTATAGAAGATTTTTAATTTAAACAATCAAGTAATACCTTCAAAATATGAAATATAAGTAAAACAATGTATTTTAAAAATCCTAAAATGTCATGTGTTATACATGAGATTTCTTTTTAATTTCAAAAGTAAATCATGCAATTGAATTATGACTCACTAGACTTTTTCTTCAAAATCTTTCAAAAAAATTATATATAAGAAAATGCTAACAAGTCGTAATAAAAAAAATTTGTTAAAAAATCATAAAAATGTACTTATTGCCATTTTTTCATGTATTTTAAATGACTTTTGATAAAAAAAATATATTATTTATTGATTCTTTGATCTATATCTTAAGAGTATTTTTACAAAAAAAAAATTGTAGGTATATTATACTATCTAAAAGATAATTTAAAAAAAGTTCTAGCATGCATAAGTTATATGAATTTTGTTTTGAGAAATATTAAATTTAAGTTACTAATTTCTAATTTTATATGTCAAATTTTTGAATTTTTTAAGAACTCTTTTACTAATTGGTCTAATAATTTGAAAATTTGACAGGGATTTGAGATGAGTTTTAATATTGGATAAATAATATGATAATTTTTAATATTGGATAAATTTTCTCTTTTTTCTTATTCAACGATCTATACTAGTTCATGTTTGCCTTGTTTCAAACTTGCGGTTTGTTTCAGATTGGACAAAACCAAAGTTGGGGACTTGTTTAGTTGAGGGGCAAAAGGTAATTGCTTTTACCACCACCCTTCCAAAAATACTTCAAAATATTAGATTTCTAAAGTGGATTTTTAAATTTAATTTCCGAAAATGACTAATATGATTTTATTTTTTTAAAGGAGTAGTGTGATTCTTAAAAACAAACAATGCAAAAAGAAAAAAAGTTTGGTTTATGAGTTGATAGACTAATGCCTAATAACATGTTCGGTTCAGTTTAATTAAAGTTATGTAAAGTTTTGGAAGCATTTATTATTATTATTATAATTTTGAAAGTGAATTTCACGATGTTCATTAAAACCCCAATCAGCACATTCATAAGATTAACTAGTACAAGTAATACAACCATCAGTTCCCCTAAATTATGCAAGAGAGCTTTGTTGCCTCAAAGACCACACTATTCCAAACACTAAACTACAAAGACAAGTTCACAATTCAATTCATGCGTGCACTCAATGTAGGAAAATGATAAAATCGTTTCACTAAGGAAAATTTAATCAGATAATATCGAGCTATTGCTCACAGATAAAATAAACAAGTTCCCAATTCAGTAAGTTTATGACTAAAGAACATCAAAAGTTCTTCAGAATTACAAAACACAAAATACCCAGATAGAAAAATCAAACTTAAATCAGATAATCCTGTAAACATCATTTTCTTGTCGTGAAGTGAAGCTAGTTCCATTGCGCTGAATCGTCATTCACAATCTATATAATTTTATTTTCTTTACCAATAATGAAGTATATATGTTTAATAGGGCCCATTAACAAATATAGCTGAAGCTGGAAAATCACTTGTAGTCATTGGTGGCTTCATTGTTTATCATGCATATATATGTATTTTTTAAAAATATCATGTAATCAAAAGTCAAAATTTAATGTTTTTTGATGTTCAAATCCAGTGCCAACTTCTTAATACGGTGCCTCTCATTGTAATATGTACTTCATTTCTTTTTATCCTATGAAAGAATGGTTATAAGCTTCACAGCCAAACATACTTTATTGGGAAGATGATTTCAATGGTTAAGGCAAGGCATTGATGTCTGCATTAAATTCCTCAAAGTCTGATGCTCCAGAACTCACAATAGGATGAATATGCACACCCAAAATTCAAAACTCTAAGTTCCACCCAAATCGATCCCACCCCTCCTCCTTCATTGCTACTCAGTTTCAAGCCCCTTGGACCATGGACTATAGCACATGCTTTAGAAGTTTCACCCCTTCCTCACCCAAGAACTTGTTCCCAACATATTCCTTCACCCCTCTCAAATATCTTTGGATCCATATTACAATGCATGCCTGCTATTTATTCTGATTGGTCCATGATAAGACTGGGTTCATTACCAAAGAATCACAATGGTGAGACCAGCTAGGTTAGGGAAATTCCGCCAGATTTTTCACATTTTCACTATTTTTTAATTATGAAATGATTTTTTTATTACTAGTGAAATTTATTAAACTAAAAACAACATAATTTCATAAATTTAAATAATTTTTAATTAATAATAAAAATATGTTTAAAAAAATACATTACAAATATTTCTATAAAAAAAGTGAGTTCCACTCCAAAGTACCAGCAAGAAAGGCAAAATCTATTTGTGTCATATTTCTTAATTTGATCTAAAATCAACACTACCCCTATGCTTGTTATCCTAAAATAATACATTAAAATGATTAGTAAAATTATCAATGTTTATTTATCAAATAGTTTAACTCCTAAAATTAAACTATAAGTATATTTCATTGAAGGTAATTCTCTTCAAGTCTGATAAAATCACCGTAAATGATAAAGTTGAAATAATCAATATCAAATAATCCACGTGCTTGGTAATAATTTTTAATCAATTTAATGCTTAATGTGATAATATCACTATTCGTTAGTCTTTAAATTTGTCTAATACATATAAAATGAACAAGACTTTAATATTAGAGACTATACTAATATAATTTTAGAGACTAATTGAATAGTTTTTCGGTTGATAACTTCATAATAAAGTTAAATAAAGTTAAAGAGATATGAAATGTAGAATGAGGTTTAAACTTGTCAATATATTTTTTTTTACTTAATAATTATTATTTTCAAAAATTAATATAACGTGAAACCACCCTAAATGAGTCAGAATTTAAATTTATAATTATTAACAGTTAAATCTTTATGCACTTTAATTTCTAAATTACAGCCTATACTTTAGTGGAGTCATATATAGCTAAAGAGGAAAAGAAATAGTCCCAAGTCAAAGTAAACGCTTGCTCTCTTTTTCCCTTTTAAAAATTTCGAACTTCGTCCTTTTTTTAATATTTGGAGTGGGAATGAAAAGAAACATGATCTGCATTATTGCTCAATCGGAAATAAAACCTTCAAATGAAGTTGAAGGATTTAGGCATGATACATATGTGGTACTGCATCTACATGCATATATTATTATAAAAGGGATAACAGTGAATCTTCCCTCCAATCATTTGATCTTTTGCATGACATAGGGTACAGTACAGGTCAGCATCTGTGCATAAAATATAAAGGAGTTAATTAATAATCGTGGGTCATAATTCCTATCAACAATATCTATATATGGTATAATTTTGAGTCGTTGTTTTAAAAGTTATGCATTCTCATATAGGGATTTGAATCCTTTAGCAGAATTTTCTCTGGTAAAATTTTGACTATTAAACAGCTAATATGGATCAATTATATATAATTTGTCCAATTTAAATTTTTATCAATTCAATAAAAAAAATTAATGATAAATATTTTACTAGAGAGAACTTGCAGGGGATCCAAATTTTCTTTTATACATTAAAAACAAAACTATGATATGGGTCTATGAGTTTGTATATACCTGTAGGTCGTGACTTGTGGGGGCTTTATCTGTCGTTTGTAACAGTATATTATAGTAAGGGATTAAATTCTTTGTCTGGTGTGTGTTTAAGGTAGTGGACATTATATTTAATGTAGACATATAAAAAAAAGTAGGGGATCTTGTGTAGTGTTTTGTTTTCCTCCATTTTTTGCTTTAAACCAGAAGCTATATATTGCCTTTCGTAATTTATTCTAATGAAGGCTACTTCTGCAAGGAAAATGATGTATATATATACACACACACGTATATATGATAAGTGATGCAATATAATAAAAATAAAAATAAAGATACAAATGCCCCCAGCAAAAGTTGAGTTTCATATCTCCTCATCATAAAGAGCTTCAATTATTTAGAATTGAATAGATAGCACATTGAATGACCAATTACCATGATACCGAACCTCCCAATGTATATATAGAGGTTTGAATCTTTTGGTGAGTCCGCATTAATTGTCACTGATCATCGATTTCTTCGTGGCAGAATGGGGTAAAAACCCCATGCAGCACTGCCTGAAGCATTCAATGTTTGATAATCTGGCAATTGCAGAACCAGCTAAGTCTGTATATGCTACGTATCTACTGAGATAGCATATTTTATAATTATGATTACATATTATGAGACTGTTTTCACTGAAATAATTTTCTTACATGAAAGTGAAAAGTGTAAATCTGGAGTATTATGCATTATGATCACTCAAACTAAGTCTTTATAACATTATTTTTTAAGAGTAATAGTACTTTCTTTAATACACTCTTTTTAACTTCAATTTTTTTTTTTAATTTTTAATAAATTTAAATCAATAATAAAAAATAATTATCAAATATGTTATCAACATTCCTTTCATTATAATATTTTAGTTGAAAAACAAGGAAGAGAGACAGTAAATAGGAGTTGCAGTGAAAATAGGTCACATTAATACAAGTGTTTTGAGCATGAATCCAATCATGGCCAACACGTCGCTAAGTTGGTCTTTTTGTCTCCACAGAATGTGGCGTAAATAGAAACACGAAAGGGAAAGATACCTCACAGCGTATGTTATCAATCACGGCGTAAATAAGTATGTCTGCGCGAAGTTATTTGTGATAAGACATCTCTATTACAAAATTATTCCTTAACACTACCACACATATGTATCTAATTTATTACTTAAAAAATATAAAATAATTAAATTTTAAAGAAAATACAAACCTATAATAATGTAAAATACTTTTAACGATTTTAAATAAAATTTTAGATATTTATACGAACAGAAACATACTTATATAAATATTATGATATCTGTGAGAGTATTGATTTGGTTTGTTGTTAACTAGAATGAAAGTTACTATAATATATAAGAATTAACATTAAAATTTTTATAAGAACTAACAATTAATTTAAGTAAAAAATTATGATTAAAAAATAAAATAAATATTTTTTTAAAAATAATTACAGTCATTTAATGAAATTTAGTAAATATTCTTGTCTTCTAGCGTCAAAGGATGGACTTCGTTAATAAGAACTGCTACTAACATATCTTTTAAACTATTAAATTATATGTCTTATAAATAAAATAATTTTTAATAATAATTAATTTTAAAAATTTTGATTAGTCATAAAATATTTTTTTATTAAAAATAACTAATTCATCAAAATCTATACAAAATAATTATATATAACAAATTTATAATATATTTAAAAAATAATTAAATAATAAAATTAATAACTCGTAGGTAAATATATTCACTTGTATGAGTAAAGATAAAATTTAAATATATAAATATATTATTATCAGTATTATTTACGTCATTGTTTAATTAAAATTAAAATTTTACCTTAATAATGTGCGCTAACTTTTAAGGCAATTGTGTTGATATTCAATCTCAATCATTATTGTGTAATTTTTTGAAGTGAAACTATAACTTTAATTAGAGAATAATATTAATAATATATGTAAAACTACATCTAAATTTTATTTTTTCATATGAATGAATAAATACTTTATTGATATCAGTATTATAATAAATAAAATAATAAAAAATAATGTATCTTAAATTGTGTCTTTATATTTTTATGAATACAAAAATAAAAGTTACTATTTTAATAAAAAAATGGAATAAAATATTAAAATATTTTAAAAAATATTATTAGCATGACTAAAGCAGAAAAAAATACATTCTAGGAATTTCTTAGATCCATACGGAAGGGAATACTTTCCTAAAGTGCGAGAGCTACGTTGTTTGCCTTTCTACTCACATGACCAAAATTAATGCAATGGAATTCTGCACATGCTACCATGATTCACCCACTCAAAAAATAAAATTATTTAAAAAAATTCACTAATGCAACTTTAAAATGAAGTTAGTTAGAGTCACTTAACTAAAATTTTGAGTTTGAATTATTATGTATATAAAAAATTTATAATAATAAATTCATCTATCATATTAGATAAAAATAAAAATTTAATTTATATTTAAAAATACACAGTAAAAAATTATATATAATAATTTTTATTAAAATAATAGAATATTACGGAGAGCATGAATACTATTAAAATAATTCATGCTATGTTAATTAACAATCGCTCTTGTATTGAGCGTCGTTAACAAAGATTAAGTGATATTAGTTGCCGTTTCAATTTTTCAGTCAAGAGCGGGACATTGATTTTTGAGTGCAGTCGTCTCTCACGTTAAATCATTGACCCCTGAGTAACAGCTTCAAAATTGATTGAAAGCTAATTCCATTCCCATTTGGTCATATTCAATATATATATGATTTTATATGTATAGCCATAAATGGAATGTTAAATTTTATGAAATTATTTTACAATATTTTATAATAAATATTTACTTTTGTATAAAAAATATTATATATATATTTTTTCTGTCTCGTGTAAAGCGGGAATCATGTGGTCATACTCTCTGCACGCTCACGATAAAAAAAACAAAGGTTTTGGTGGTGCAACACGTGGTTGGCATGTGTATTTTAGTGTTAGAGACTTGATTACGATAAACTCTTTTTTTTTTAAATATAGATAAGTCTTTGCATTTGAGGTTTTCTCTGGAGACTTTCCACATGTGTGGAGTTATCTGAAGTCAAAAAGTTAGGTTCAGATACATGTGAATGCGACCTAATAAGGTATTATTTTCTCCCACTTGGATCATCATCTTCAATGGTTTGAAACAAACTATGGAAAATCCAGCATTTGGGAAATTTTATATTTGAAGGCAAGATCTCTTTTTAATGTTAGTGGTTGGTACTTCCCATGAGATTCACCAAAGAAAGTAAAGGAAGAGAGAGAGTTGGGAGCAGGCATGCCTACTGAATTTAAGGACTTCACAAAGAATAATTCTACATCCTTCAATTCAGATCTTACTTAATTATTGAAGGAAGAAAATATTTAATACAATTTATTAATGTTTAAAATGTTTTAATATTTGTATTAATATTTTTATTTCTTCTGTTAACACAAAGAAAAATTAACGATGAAATTCTAAATTTATCCCTGCTTAAAATTAATCTTCATAATCATATTACTAGCTAAGACATCAGAAAGGTTTGATATTTATAAGAAATAAATATTAAAAAGAATAAATATTTTTAAAATTTATAAAATATGTCATATTAAGAATCATAAATTTTCTAAATTAATTGTACATAAAAAAGAAAGAAATAAAGAAAAATTTATATATCCATAAAAATATAGAAAATTATTTTATTGATATATAATAAAAAAGGAAAAAATAATTTAATATAAAAATTTAATAAATTGGTGTCATAAAATAAAACAATTATAAAATATATCTTACCTGGCAAACATAATGGCGTATGAAGAAAAAGTATGTGAACAAACAATTTGTTTTTAGAAATATGTTTAATTTTATTTTATTTTTTATATATAAGTGAATTTCCTGACTCAAGTCCCCATGAGCCTAGCCACGAGAGGAGTCCTGGATAGGTACACCACTAATTTTAAGGTCCAATTGTAATCATTTTCTTTTGTTGTGTATCAAATTACAAAAGAAAGAAGGGACCTTGGTACTCTCTCTGTGTGTTTGTATGTGTATCTGTTTCTCACCACATACAGAGAGATAATAAGATATTGTTGTAGCCACAAGCACACAGAGTCACAGCCTTCTACTCATGTCCATGGCTGGGGAACAAGGTGATAGTTGCTCCTCCATCACCATACCCCTTTTGGGTGAAGAAAAAGTGCACCAAGTGAATGACTCAAATATTGAAGCTTTGGTGGCCAAGACTTGTGATTCACACACCCCTTATGTGGGTAACACCTCCTTTTACAAGACATGCTTCCATCTTATTAATGCCCTCTCAGGTTCTTCTCTTGCATGCCCTTTCTTTTTTCTTCTTGTCTTTCATTCACAATCTTTGTTTGTTACCATGTCATCTATCCAGCGTTTTGCTCCCATTTTTGTATCTTTGTTTCGGCAAGGCTTTTTGTTGGAATTCAACTTTACCCTTTAGCTTAATTATTTTTATCTATCTATTGAGGATTGAAGATCTTGTTATTAGACAAAATGTACATTTTAAAATATATGGTACTAATGGAAGGAGAAAGATTTGCTTTTCAGATTTTAAATTAGGGTAAGAATAATTAATGCCAAGACATATTACAAATTAAGTAAAGAAAAAGTCAATTTTTAAAAATAAAAATTCAAACTTTTAATCCCTAATTTACTTTTTCAGTGTAAGTTTAACATTTCTTTCTTTCTTCTCACTTTCCCTTTACTCTGTCAGAGGGAAACTTTGACTTATTAATTTAATTAATATTAATAAGTTTAAAGTTTTATTTGATTTTTCTAAAAAAAATTTACTTTTGTTTAAAATTTTATTTAATAATTTGTTTATCTTAAGGAGAAAAGAAAAAAATATAAAAAATATGACTAACACGTTACATTAAACATTTAATATAATAGTAAATAAAAACCATCAGAAAAAGATGTATTTTTATTTTCTTAAATGCATGATGATCTGCTAAGGACAAAATGTTTTTCATGACTTAATATTTTAATTAAATAATTTTTTAATAAGTTTTTGCTCAAAATTATTCAATAAAAATATCATCCTAGATCAGATCGATTAAGTTGAATCAGCACAGAGTCTCATACGCCTCTCTGATTTATTTTATATTTAATATTCCTACTCTGTTTTTGTTTGTCTCTACTTTTGTAATTTATTATGTATTTATACGATATAGATGACAACTCATGACTGAGATATCGCAGTGGAAGTGGAACGTTGACATGATAACTTCATCGATAAAGTAACTTTAAAAAGAAAAAACACTTTATCGATATAGATGTTTGAATGATTCATAGAATAGTGTGAACAAAAACGTTCCATTAATTAATTTGAATATTTATCAATTATTAATGTATTTTCACATTATTTGAGTTCTTTTAACATTATATCATTTGTTTAAACATGTGCTGTTATAACATAAAAATGCAGTAATAAAGTAATATCAGAACAATGATCATTTTACACCCTTGTTGAAGAATAGAGAGAAAAACATGAAAAGTTGATAAAATTATGTAACAGTGGATTAAGAGAGTGCAGGTAATTGAGAGAAATGGAATATAAAAATATCAGGTTGGTAGTAAAATTATTCACCCAGATTGAAGTAAGAAAAGTGGAATCACAGTGCACAGACTCCTTTTAAAAGCTTTATATAAACACACTAAACTAAATATTTATCTGTATCCTATTTCTTGAATAGGACACAGTGTCGGCATAAAGAATACTGTAACATATTCCCTTATGTGGATGCTGTCCCATTTCCAGAAACAACTTTTGCGGTGATATGATTTAAAGATTGTTGTTATACACGCATAAAGAATAAAAATAAAAAGATAAGAGAGAACTATTGATAATATATAAACAATGTAATAAGAAGAGAGATGAAAAATAAAATAAAAATACTGAGTAAGTGTATAAAAGAATTTGGATTGTTTTATACTATTAATAGTATATGATTATGTTGAAAAGAAAATTATACCAGTAATAATATATATTTGTTATTTGTTAAAATTTATTATAAAATATATCCTCTGAGACACTTTTATTATTTGTTAAAATTTATTGAGAAATTAAAAAAACTGTCTGTTCTATTTTTAATTTAATGATTTTTCTTATATTTTTATAATTTTTAATAAAATTTAACTAAAACTTAAAAATATATTATAAAATATATTGGCAGGCTTTCTCAAATCTAAATTCAACATGATTTGTGTTATTGTCTTCATGTATTGCGAGGTCGTGTACCCAAAATTGTTATTGTGTCAAGCATCAATTTTTGAAAATAAATTTATTATACAATAAAACACATCACTTCTCAATAAAAGAACATTTACGTGTGATCCTATTACCTTTCATGTTTAGTCAATTATTAGTTCAGTAAAGTTTAATTCACTAATAGAGGATAATGAAAAACAGGAAGAGACTTTCATTTTCTGATTTTCACTTCTTCAACTGGTTAAAAATAAAAGCAAGAAAAGTTTATCTGTAGTTTTCTCTTTATTCAATGGATTGATCCAAGAAAAGAAAAGAAAAGAAAAGAAATATACTAAGTTGTTGTTAAGAGTTATTAAAACTTACATTACCATGATTTATCTTTGCTATGGTTTCAGGAGTTGGTATTATATCGATGCCTTATGCACTGGCATCTGGGGGATGGTTAAGCATATCACTGCTATTTGTGATTGCAATTGCTTGCTGTTACACTGGCATGTTGGTCAAAAGATGCATGGATATGGACCCTGATATAAGAACCTTCCCTGACATAGGTCAACGCGCATTTGGAGACAAAGGGAGGCTAATTGTGTCAATTGCGATGAATTCTGAGCTCTACCTTGTTGTAACAGGTTTTCTGATTTTAGAGGGTGATAATTTAAACAAACTGGTACCAAATGTGCAACTTGACCTCGCCGGGTCAACAATTAGTGGAACAACAATTTTTGCCATGGTTGCTGCCCTTGTTATTTTGCCTACTGTTTTGTTAGAGGATTTGAGTTTGCTATCTTATGTCTCTGCTAGTGGAGCTTTGGCTTCTTCCATTTTTCTCCTCTCTCTATTTTGGAATGGCACCATTGATGGCACAGGATTTCATGCAAAGGGAACATTTTTCAGATTGAGTGGAATACCTGCTGCAGTTAGTTTATATGCCTTTTGTTACAGTGCTCATCCAATTCTTCCCACTCTCTACCATTCTATGAGAAACAAAAGCCAGTTCTCAAGGGTAAGTACAAAACAGTTTATATATGAAGTTTATTTGGACTTACGTATAAACACTTAAGTTGTAAATTGGAAGTGTTTGGTTAAGTTTATGGAAATGACCTATGACCTTTCTATAAACTTTTTTTTAACTTGTTTCAATAATGTTTACATGTATTGAAATAAGCTTATTCTAGTACCCTTCTATATTTAAAAATTCTGCTTGCTATATTAAGCATTTGTAACGTAAGTTCGTATGTGATAAAAAATAAGGTCTTGTCTAGAAGAACGTAAAGCTCTCATAAACTCTTTTCATTTAATTTGAATAAGTTATTCGACATAACTTATTAGAATAAGTTCTTTTTAATTTATTTCTGAAAATTTTATGGTCAAATATAACTTATTAGTCGAGTTTCAAAACGTACCTAAGTGTCTAATTAATTATTTACCCAATGCATTGTTAAAGAAACATGGATTAGTGCTTCTTCATTTTCATAATTTTGCTTTTAAATACTAAATTATAAGTTTAAATCCGTGCTTTGGCAGGTTCTCTTTGTATGCTTTTCTGTATGCACACTTGGTTATGCAGCAGCAGGTTTTTTGGGCTACTTAATGTTTGGGGAAGAGGTTGACTCACAGGTGACTTTGAACCTCCCAACAGGGAAATTCAGTTCACAAGTAGCAATATACACTACCTTGGTCAATCCCATAGCCAAATATGCATTGATGCTTAGTCCAGTCATAAATGCTGTAAAAAATAAGGTTTCATGCTATAACAACAAAAGGCTCACACATATACTTGTTAGTACCTTAATGCTCATTAGTACTCTTATTGTAGCTGTGGCCATTCCCTTATATGGATACCTCATGTCATTTATTGGGGCATTACTAAGCGTCTCAGCTTCAATTATAGTACCATCAGTGTGCTATTTGAAGATTTCAGAAGCTTACAAGAGATTTGGGTCTGAAATGATAATAAACTATTCAATAATAGTAATGGGTGTTACTATTGCTGTTGTGGGTACATATACATCTCTGTTAGATATAATTCACAATTTGTAAGTGTCAAGTGCACAATCAATCTCCGTGGAAGTTGCAATAATTGGAGCTTCATGAATGTGTAAAGATGTGCTTCTGTTAATATTTCGATTGATTGTATCAACATTTTGTGAGGCTTAATCTTTGTCAGATATTTACTTTCATTTGATCATGTTTGAGAGAATTGTTTTCCTATAGGAAATCCCATGATGTTTTGACCACTTGTTTCATGCAAGGGAGAGAATAAATAATAAAAATGAAAATAGTGTTGAATTTTCGTAATGATTAGCATATTTATTTATTAAAATAATAATATTGAATTATTTGAATAATATTAATAATGAAAAAAAAAATATATTATTTAATTATAATGTGAATGTAGGGTATTGGGCTTTTAAATGAGAATGAACTGTTGTGAGTTGGGTCATATATCTTGCTCTCATGGATGTACTTATATATGTTACTTCATATAAAATTGAGTGCTTGGATTGTAAGAAAAATTTAGAAACTGCTTAGTTTTAAAAAAATCGTTTATGTATATACGAGGAAGAATTTTTTTATATTAGTGTAAGTTTAAAAATTAGTTAATGAAGTAAAAAATTATAACTTGTTAGATGTAAGTTAAATGAAAATTTTTAGATTTATATTAGTGTGAAAAGATTTTGTTCTCTTCTCTATATATATATATATTTAAAATTTTATTACAAAATTATTATATTCTTTTCATTTTGTTAGTTTTAAAGATTTGTAGATAAAGTAGCAAAAAAAAAAAAACATTTTTAATGTTTCTTGTACAAAATTATAGAAAATAAAATAAAAATAACGTGATAGCTTCATAACAAAAAAGTGAAAATAGAAATTCAAAATATAAGGTAATTATTGAAACTAAAAAAGAATGAATTTAATTTTTTTTAGGTACACACATCTTATATTCTCTAATAAATTTATTTATTAGAGTATGCATTATTATGTATTTAGACCTATCATTTATATTCTAAAAGTTTAGCAAATAACACTTCTGTTTCTTATGAACTGCTCTCATGATCAATAGATGGTTGATTTTGATTGATGCACATTAAAAATCAATAGGGTTAGTTATCAATTGCAACAAATTATAGTTATTTTACTAAATGAATAATAGGAACAACACTAGCAAATAATTTCGAATGCAATTTTAGACTTATAGTTCTAAATAGTTTACAGTAGTTTGTCTTTTTTTTTTTTTTTACAAAAAAAATTAAGTAATGTTGTTTAGTTAATGAGAAATCACATTTAATAGTTTCCAAATCTCATTCAATTTATTCTTTTAATAATTTGAGTTAGTTATTCTTTGAGGAAAAAAAAATTATTAGCTATTGTAGCTTATCTTTTATAAGTCACGAAAAATAGCATTATTTGTTTTCCTCATAAATATTGAAAGATTGTAAAATCTTCAAACACTTAATTGAAAGATTACTTCGTCGTTTAAACTGGAAAAAAAAAAAGACTTCTGAAAAATATCTAGACAGTGAGATTAGCACCTTTATATCTTGAAATGTATGAAAATCAAAATTTTTACATCGTGTTAAGAATTGATATTATGACTCATTTAATTTTATGTTTTATTTAAAGAATTAAAAATTTAAAGATTATATTCCTAATACTCCTCTCGAACCATTCCCAACAAAGTCAAGTCTTGTGATGTATGAATGGAACAGGGATCTCCCAAACCTTCCACTGAACAAGATTAAGAAGCATGTGAATAAGATAAGGTATGGTGTGGAGATGATTGAGTGTCACATTGGGAGCAGGTTGTACACCGTTTTCTGCTAAAACAAGGAGGTTGTCTTGTCTATTTGCTCATAAAGAAGAGATGAACCCAGGCCCACTTTAGCTCATGAGCATGACTCCATTAATTAAATTAAATAAACCGCACTGCATATACAAAGATTCAGGAAGTTAATGAATTTTGTAGCCCTCACCTTGAGACATTTTAAGGTGTACAATCTATTATTATACGTACATGTGTTATACATATAAAATACATGATGGATGGGCCATAAAAAACTTTTCTGGCATGTTCAACATAACAGACTTTATAGCTTTAAAAATTTGATATCACCACCTTAACTGATACCAACGATAGTGCTTACTCAAAGTTAATGCATAAGGTGGCACATCAATTTCTTGGTAATTCCGATGTCATTGTGATGTTGGCTTTGAATGACCTTCTTCGGCATTAAATAAAAGAGAGGGTGTGTTTAAAATATATAGAAAATGTTATCTAAAATTGATCTAGTTGATCCATGAAAAATAACTAAAAGTGATAACTTTTTACTGAGGTTATTAATAATTTTTTTAAATGTTTAAACTCAATTTTAAACTATGTAAGATATTACATAAATTAATATGTGTTGTATTTTAAATATAACTCTCTTCTCAGTAATTTGCTCGAGCTCATGAAGAATCAAATTAAGAGATTTTATCTTTCCGTTGAATTAAATAATTTCCATAACAATGGGACCATTTGCAAAATCGGACACAAAATGTAAGCTCGAAACGAAGATTAAAAGATCGAACATCAATACACCAAAGTTTCTAGAAGATAGTTTTATTCTATTTTTTGGGATGTGGTCGCAAATTTTGTTCTTTTTCAGTTATTTCACTTAGCCAATTTGGTGGTAGAGGAAAGATATTTTTTAACGTGGTGTTTTCCCACGATAATATATTATCATCTTTGGAAAAAAATTGTTGAAAGAAAGGTAATGAATAATTATCACAAGTCACCATTTAATTTCTCTCATCTCCCATTCAGAGAAGATTGGATTTCGTTATCCCTCATCTTTTTCTTTTTGCTAAATGAGATGTTATAACTCAAACACCCACCCCAACATTGTCCGTACTTGTCTTTCACGCCATGATCTTTTCTTCTTCCATTGTTCGCCAAGTTTTCTCATTTGATAATAAACATCAACATGCATAAATTAACTAGCTAATCCTTTTTTCTTTTCTTTTCAATTTTTAAGTTTATCCTTAACTTTAATATCCATATGTATACTTTGGTCCACATGCATGGCACTCATACAAGTCCGAGTTTAATAATATTTATGGCATAAACAATGTAAGTTATAGTCAGGACCAGCAGCACCAAAATATATGAATTAAGGGTATATTCTAAAACATTGAAGTTTAAGGGTTATATATATGTTATGTCTCTTGCAGGCTTTTAGGTAGGTCAAGAAAACATATATAAGAAGATTCTTAGATACTCCAATCAAATGATACATATGTGGAGGTGTGGACCTATTCAAATATCTCCCACCCAGTTGAGAAATTAAATTTCAAGCCAGCCATCACCGTAAAAGTTAGGCTTAACATCTTTGCCAATAGGTGTATGCTTGTATAAAAATATATGTTTCATATCATGTTGGCCCATATATGAGTGACGTATAAGCAGTTAATGTTCCTATGCTGCCAAAACCCACGTAGAATTTTTCGTATATATGTATATGCTTTGCTTAATAATATAATACTATGTTAACTTTAATTATAAAATGTTGTAATTTTAAGAAAATTAAGACTTAGTGCAATTGATCTAGACAAAACAAAAGAGCCAAGTGATGAGTTGTGTAAAGGTCAAATGCTATGGATTTTGTGTATATTTTTAGTTTTATAATAATAACATTTCTAACCCGTACTTAACAATATGTAATAAAAAATATGTATCATAAATTTGTATTTAAATATAATATATTATAGAATTTAAGACATTAATAATATTCAATACTACAATTTTCAATAAAAACGCATTATTTATTGAAATTTTAAATATGTCTTAAACACTAGTTAAAAAAAAAAAACCATTTCACAACGGTTGAATCACTTTTAAAACTTCAAACAAGCAATAATTTTTCAAACATGATGCTGAATATTTTTATTGGTCTGAATCCGTACATCTAATTACCCTGTGCTGTTTCTTCTATTGAAGAGTCATACTATCTTAAAAATTATACAGTTATATATTATGTTCTGGCATAAAATAAAATTATGTGAGTATTTAAAGATATTATAATCTTACATATTAAATAATTTATAATAATTTTCACTTACATTTAGATCAGCTATAGTATATATCAAAGCTTTAGCTTGTTATGCATTAAAGGTACAAATATTTAGGTAAGGGAAACAAAAAAGGGACATTAGAATTGAATCCCAAACGGTAGCGTTACATCCAAATATTAAAATTGCAGTTGTGATCCTACGTCAACTGAGTTATAAATGATTAATCAAAATCTTATTTCGATAGCAGACTGATATGTGCTTATTTCAAGTACTTGAAGAATTTATTTACACAAATTGTTAAACACGGCATGATATTGTTAATGAATATTGACAGCGGTGTTACAGAGTATAATTATGTAAGAATACATAAATAATATTAAAACAATATTTATTATTATTCATTTTTTAAAACCAAAACTTTGAAAGGTCAAAAATTAAAAAGTACAAAAATAGTAATAAAGTTAATAAATAAACTAATAAATTAAAATATTTAAAAGAATATTTTTTTCAAAGAAATATCATGTAACAATTATAATAAAAGAACTTTAATATCACCTAAAGCTTGACAGAGAACTTATATCTATTTGATAAAATATAATCAATTAGATTGAGCATAAAATCTTTGATTCTGGTTAATTAGGCTGACTGCAGTAATAAAGTCTGTTCCATCACTACTTCTTCTTTACGTCTATTTTATTCATGTATCTTGTACTTATTATCTTATATTATTTATTATACACCTTGAAGTACATTAAAAGATCATTTTTAACCATATGAATTGAATTTTAACATAAATTTTAATTTAAATATACTGATAGTATTAAAAAAAATTTACACCATCACCCGATCATCTATTGTCATACCAGTAAAAGTTATTAATTTTGTAATAATTAATACAAATTATATTTATGATATATTCTAATTGATTGATAATATAAAAAATTTTACATTAATATCGTCCAAAAATAAAATTTTATTTGAAACGAGTAGAATTATTATCAACTGTAAAATTAACTATTATAAATACTAAAACTCCTCTCGTACATGCAAGGTTATTTATGCGATTTGTATAGCTAGTAATATTTAAAAAAAAACCTTGGATATTTGAAAATTATTTAAAATTTCGACCTGTTTCAATAAAGCAAGATAGAGTGTATATGATGAACACGTGCGTTTATGTAGGAGGTGAAAACAAAATCATTACACGTATAAATAGAATATATGAGAGTATCTGACTTCTCCAACTCCACGACACAATCCAACATTCAATCCTCTGAAACGGTGAACAAAAAACCACCGTGCCGTCAAACACTTGATTGCCGCAAAAACGTTAAATCAAATAAGCCGTTTTATCGGACTCTGTCTCACTTTCCCTGAACACTGTCCCACGTTTCCTCCGTTTCATTTTGTTAACTCAAAATACTTTGTGTCGGTGAGTTTGATTTGATTTTCTCCAATCATTCTGTCCTTTATTCTATATATGTGTGTGTGTGTGTGTGTGAGAAGAAGAACAAAGTGGACCAAACCATCGAATATTGTTTCAGAAGTGCTTTTCTCGTACAATGGAAGAACCGTGGAGATTCAACCTCTGCCGCGTGTTTGTTGTGGTGGTCTCTTTATTCTCGTTCTCCATGGAACATATTTGGTGTTCCACTCTCAACAGTGAAGGTGAGTTGCATCAAATAAACGTATGATTCAAGATCAGTTTATGTGTGTATTTTAATTGTTTTTAATAATGTATAATTATTTTTAATAATGTATACCACTTCATAATTGTCATTAAAGAATGTTAACCAGCGTCCACAAGATATATTTTTACGTGAATTTTAATAAAAAAGTTGACATAATATGTAAAATTAATAAGACCCTTATTATCACGGGTTTATTTTTCTTGAGGTTGTTTCATAGATTTATGTGGTTTGGTGTGAGATGGTGTAGGGTTGGCGATGCAAAAGATGAGGGAGAGAATGGTGAGAGATCCATTGGGGGCTTTATCAAGTTGGAATGGTGAAGAAGGAGTGGTTGATCCTTGCTCTTGGTTCGGAGTAGAGTGCTCCCACGGCAATGTTGTTTCCTTGTAAGCAACCCCTCTTATGCTGCTTCTCTTTCACGCTAATTCTCTTTTATATGATTTTGCATTTATCATCATCCGAACTCTTTATATATATATATATATCTACCAATGCATGTTAAATTCTTTATATCTCAGTTTATATATTATCAAGCTTTTATATTCAATAACCATACATGAAGTTTATTAAGAAGTTACATGATAAAAAGTTGCATATTCATGTCAACCTGCAATTTTCTTTTTACAATTGTTTTCCCGTGCTTAGTTTATGACTGAACATAAACTTGTACACATGAATATTTGGGAGCGTTGTGTTTGTTGGTACTAGTTATTGTCCTGCATATACCAGAGTCTCACTCCTAAGAAGAACACAACATACTTTTTAATATATTTTATTGGTTGAAATTTCTTAAAACCGTATAAAATTATGAATAAGAGTGACATTTACGTGATTTTATAGTTTTTTAATAAAATTTGACTAATAGTTTAAAATATATTAGGAATAATAAATTAGAAAATGGATAAATATTTGAGTTGTTACATTTTTGGGATACACGGTGCAGATTCATGACGAAACCATTTTTGTAGCATTTTTGTCGTTAAGATAAATAAGGTATTAAATAAAAATTTAAAAAATATATAATAATAATAATAATATAATAAACCCAGAAAAATTGGACAAATTAGGATAAAAAAAAGAAACAGATCAATTATAAAATAACTAGTTGGGCTCACAGTCCAATTGGGCTCTGATTAATTATTACTAATACTTGAAATTCTCATTGATGTGGCTTGTAACGCCAACAGTAGTTACCCATCGACCAAAAATAAAACGTAATTGGGTATAAGTTGCATGGGGGAGTTGACCATGTAATCTAAGTATAATATATTAACAATTTGGGAAAAAAATTGACAATCGAAAATATATATACATATACATATACATATATATATATATATATATTATTGATTATGATTTTGATTTCTTAAATATTTTGAAAATTTAATTTTTGAAAATTTAATTTTTTATCGAGTTTAATAATTTTGTGCTACTATTATATTTTAGAGACAAAATATAACAATAAAGCTTGGAATAGCCTAAGGTTTTTTCTAGGTAACCATGCCACTGTTAATAAAATAATTATAGTTTGATTAGAGATTTATTTAATTCAACTTATTTTTTGTGATTATAAATTTCTTACTTATTTCAAAACTGTATTTGTTTTGCTTCTGATTTGGACGAGTCTGCTTTTGGGAAATTGAATGAGCTATGCTTTTCATCTTGCCAGTCCATATTATTATTGTTAATTAATAATTACTCGCCACAAATGTCCAATGAACATTGTATATCCAATGTACATGAATTAAGGGTTATTCAACATGCAGGAATTTAAAAGATCTGTGTCTGCACGGAACACTAGGACCCGAAATTGGGAAGCTGGTTCATATAAAATCAATGTAAGAACATGTGCATGCCATTATTGACTATGCCAAAATAATGAGAATTTGTCAACAACCCTTATAATCATATGCAGCATATTGCGTAACAATTATTTCTTTGGAGACATCCCCAAGGAAATACTGCAACTAGAGGAATTGGAAGTTCTTGACTTAGGATTTAACAACTTTAGCGGACCATTTCCATCTGAAGACCTTGGCAACAATCCTTCCCTAACTACCCTGTAAGTTGAATTTTTCATGCAATACACACAAATTTCTTCTTTTTTTTTTTTCTGATTTTTTGTAGTTAAATCATCAAATTTGTACCACAGTTTATTGGACAATAATAACTATCTTGCCAACTTAGCTCCAGAAGTGTATGAGCTCAAGAAGTTTTCTGAATTGCATGTGCATGAAGAACAACTAACTGGTGCCACCTCTAGAGAAGCATGTGTTAGCATATCTAATATATGGTAAGCAATTAATCATGCAGCTAGTAAAAAATGCTTATGTTAGTGCTGAATTAAACTTTGCTTTTGCTTTACATTCCTTTTATCCACAGCATAGATCTTAATGGTTTTTCTTTTTATTTTCTTATAAGTCCAATATTGCTTAGAGTGTTTTTTTTTTTTTTTTTCATTAGATTTTTCATATATGATACATCAAATTATGTTTAAAATCGTGTGCTTGTGACAGGCGCATTGACCGGCGTGGGGATATAGCATACAGAAGGCAACTTCTCCAAGTAGCACCTAACTCACCCAAAACTAAGAGGGTTGATGACAAAGAGACTCTTTCACCATCACCATCACCCTTTTCCTCTTTACTATCACCAGTTTCTGAGCCTTTTCCCCCATCACCATCACCATCAGAAAGTCCCTCAGATTCACCAACATCTCCAGAAGTTTCCCCTTCACCTTCTCCATCTCTTTCTAGTGTCTTTTTCACTCTTTCACCTTCACCTATGGTAGCACCAACTCCAGCAAATCCACCTATTGTTGTGTCCAAACCACCACATTCCAACTGGGTTTCAACACCTTCTCCTGCTTCATCTTTAAACCAAGGGAATTCAAACAGTTCAAAACCAAAGCAACATCTTGTGATTATTTGGTCCACAGTTGGAGGCTTCTTCCTGATTTTGGTGTCATGCATTGCTTTTGTTTGCATCAGAAGCAGCAAGGTTGTAGCTGTAAAACCTTGGGCCACAGGGTTGAGTGGCCAGTTGCAGAAAGCATTTGTAACAGGTAACTTGTGCTCATATATTTTACTTGCATCATTGACAAGTTCTGTTATAGATTTAAAACTGAAAATTTCAAATTAACTCTACCTAATAAAGTTTATGTTGTAGTCTTTTTCCTTCTTTTACAATATTTCTTTATTTGGAATATGCATACTCATTGTGCATGTGATTTAGGTGTTCCAAGTCTAAAACGAACAGAACTTGAAGCAGCTTGTGAAGACTTCAGCAACATTATTGGTTCTCTGCCAAATGGGACTATTTATAAAGGAACTCTCTCTAGTGGAGTTGAAATAGCTGTAGCATGCTCTACAGTGACTTCATCCAAAAATTGGTCAAAACATGTCGAAGCTAAATTCAGAAAGAAGGTATGCTTAGCAAACTCACCACACTTTTTGATTTGGTTTTTGTTCTAAACTTTTTCCTTTTTGTGATTCCAGATCGAGATGCTATCAAGAGTAAACCACAAGAATTTTGTGAATCTTATTGGACATTGTGAAGAGAATAATCCATTCACAAGGATGATGGTTTTTGAGTATGTTCCAAATGGATCACTATTTGAACATCTACACAGTGAGTGCTGTTTTGTTCAAATTTTACTTGCGTGATTACATTGCCAAGCATATGATTTAAGAATCATTGCATCCTAACACGCAACTATTATATTTATGGTGTATCCTTCCCTTATTACTCGATACTTATTAGTAAGAAGTTATTAACATAGCTTTTATCAGCAATTTCTTGTGTTAGAAATATAATGAAACGCTATTATTAGGCCTTTACCATACATCTTTATCCAAAAGGTTTATCAGTTTCATAATATGATAGATATCAAAGATTGTTTGATCAAATAAGAGAGGAGAGTTTATGCATGGTAATAGAAAATCAGTCTTGGGATTTCAATTCAAAACTTAAGTATTCAAATTGATTAGTTCTTTCACAAGTTGAAAGTTGTGTCTTTTACTGGTAATTAGTGTTTTGTTTTGACATCATTCATGTATGTCTTGCAGTTAGAGAAGCAGAACAACTAGACTGGGGAATGAGAATGAGGATAGCTATGGGAATAGCCTACTGTTTAGAGCACTTGCATCAGCTAACACCACCCATTGCCCACAGAAACCTCCAATCTTCCTCTATATACCTGACTGAAGATTATGCTGCTAAATTATCAGATCTTAGTTTCTGGAATGACATAGTTGATACAAAGAAGGGTTCTGAAGCCACACAAGTTGCAGAAACAACTTCAGCTTGTATAAAATCTAATATTTATAGCTTTGGAGTAATATTGTTTGAATTGATTACTGGTAGAGTTCCCTATGCAGTAGACAATGGCTTAGTTACAGATTGGGCAGCAGAATATATAAGGGAGCAACCCTTGAGAGAGTTGGTAGATACAAGCCTTAACTCTTTGAGAGCAGATGAAATTGAAAAATGGTCACAAGTGATCAACAGCTGTGTTCATCCAGATCCCGGAAAAAGGCCAACTATGAGAGAGGTTGCTGCTAAGTTGAAGGAAATCACTGCTATGGGACCTGACGGAGCAACTCCCAAACCATCCCCTCTTTGGTGGGCAGAAATAGAAATTATGTCCACTGACTTAAGTTCAGACTTTAATCCATAACGCCATATAAAGAAAATTGTGTATTGGGATAATAATCTGAGCATCTACTCCGAATTTGGAGTTTGATGCCATTTTTTAATTTTTTTTTCTTATGTTATAGATTCTTCTTTTGAAGCTAACAGAAGTCAGGTGAATAGAAGAGACAACTTTTGTTTTAATAGAGCAATTGATTTTTGTAAATATTTGAGGAATGAAGATTACTTCCTATATATCCTTTTGTTTTTATGATTTTCTAAGAGAATATTGTTTTCCTTCTAGTGTGGAAAAGGCTCAGAGCAAGAGAAATGATTATGTTGGTTTTCGATGACAAAGAAACGAGTTCCACCCTTTTGTCATATGAAGATAAAATCAAGACATTAAGGAATTGTTTTTCACTAAAATATTGGCCTTGGAAAATAATATCACTATGGTATCTTAAGATAAGATAGAATTTGCAGATTGAGGCAGAGACCAAAAATTAATACTATCTCATCATTTCCACTGGGGATTTGTTTGTTCACTTGATGTACGAAATACTATGGATCAAGAACAGCAACAAACCGGGAAGATTAATTTTATTTTTAGTAAAAAGAAAAAAGTGCAGGAAATGAATTATACATTGTAGGAATCAAGTGGTATGAATCTCTTTATAACCTTGTAACTGTACAAGAGGACGTTTAAATACCGTGAGACAAATTCTGTAAATATGACTCACAAGAATACATATCATATCAATGGAGTTACTGTTCTGAAATTCTTACAATTTATATCTTAATCATCCTCCCTATTTGATAATATAAACACATAACTTCGTCATTTTCATCCATCTTTTTCTTGATTCATCCAAAAAAGTATTGCTTCCTGTTTTTGTTTCCACAATCCATATGATATCCTCCATCCCATTCTCTTTGTTCTTAGGCGGTTGCTGTGAGATTTGAGGGAAAAACTTGGTCTTTTGGGAGTGTCCGATTAATTGTCTAACCAGTATTACCACATTTTATCTTTCTGATGCAATATACTTTTGAGATTAAAAGTTCAAGTTTTTAGTCCTTTGATACAGATCAAGTGTCCCTGCATGGTTTGGATCTAAGCAAAGTGCAGCCTGACAATCTTGAAGAGCAGATGATAGGTCCCCCATTGACTCATAAAATGCTGCTCGAAGATGAAGCATTTGCAGGTCAGGCCTGAATTTTATGGCTTTGGTGAGTTCTTCAACTGCTTCAGTTTCCTTTTGCTCATCCATCATCACTGTTCATACATGTGACATTATATGTAAATAATCATTATTATATTTATATTTTTATCTTTGGTGGCAAAATATGTGAAATTTGAATGGTGTAAAGATTAAAGTATCTACCTATTGGGTTTATTACCTACTCCGTCGATACCAAGTCATCTAAAACATAAAATTTCAAACTGAAACTTCATAATATATTTTTGACGACCAAAGAAAGCAAGGACAACAGATGAAGTAGTAATTATACTTATTTTCTGAAGTAGTAACTGTCCTGTAGAAATTCAAATTCTATGAACTTCTTTTCAATGTGTATACCCAAAACTTCGTTTAAAGTAGGAATGAAACTATAGATAGAACTTGGATACATTTCTGAACTTGATGATCTCTCCAAATTAAATATGCTACTACATTTTTTTTCTCTCTTTTCGTCAATTGCATGATGATTTTGGCGTAAGAATCAGAACACAAATTTGAAGTTAAAAGTTTTCACCAACCATGAAAATGGAACTGATTAGTGGTTGCAGATTGATATATCAAGGCTGGCACATTATTATCTGAATCTGTGTCTCAAATTAGTAAAATCAAATGGTAATTAGGAGAGTACTAAATAAGGGAAAGTACCTGCTGCCCTATATCTATATGGATATGTCCTTAGGGGATCAAGTTGAGTTGCAAAATCAAGATCAGCCTTTGCCATCTCACGGTCACAGTATTCTGATCTTTTCTCATATGCTGAGGCATTGTTCTCTGCCTTCTCAATCAGCTTGGTCATCTCATCATATGCAGCTTTTCGTTGATTTTTCTGATGATAAACACGTGCCAGACCTTGATGAGCTCTTGTGTGCCTAATTGCAAGAGCATTCTTGTAGCATTCTTTTGCATGTTCTAGCTTGCCACAATCCACATAAATACTACCTAAGTTATTCAATGCCTGCAAGATATTGCACAAGACAATCAAATAAGTGTATGATACTTACTTCACTAGCAGTAGGAATAGTATTAGAGATCACTCACTTGTCCTTTGCGAAGACCATCTGAAGGACATTTAAGTGCTTCTTTTAGAAGCTTAATAACATAGGAGGAAGATTCAGGGTCCAGAGTTGTATCCGCCAAAACATATGCTTTTAGGAAAAAAGCTTCAAATGATCTCTGAATTGTAATGGATTTATCTGCCCTCTCCAAAGCTTCTTCGCGATAGCCAGTATCATACAGAATCCATCCTTCATAAATTAGCCTTTCTTGCAATGAGCTAGAATGATTTCTAGCCAAACGTAAACTCTGCATTGCAGCCTTTTGACAATTCAACCTGTGAGGAATTCTCTTGGTACTGTAAATAGTGCTGAATACTAATTTCAAGACAGAAAATAGCTACATTGTGCAAAAATACTAGGAAGCATAGAGAGGAATAAAATAGACTTTACATTATTTTAATAAGCTAGTCATTGTCACATGCAATGATCCATGACAATGTGACAATACACACAATGAGAATTAAAAGTTAAAAACACTCGGATACTTTTAGTTCAGTTTTAGGGATGCTAACCTCAACAGGAGTAGAGACTGACGAAACTCTAGCAGGCTCTTTCCAGGCTCATTCTCTAGCATTTGATGTATAATAGCCAAAGAACCAATGTCATCTACAGAAGACCATTGTTGGTATAATTGCATCCAGCAATCAGCCTGACTCTTCTGCTGAACTCCATGGCTTAGAAGTTCGAGCAAGTTTTCCCCTTTGATCTTCCCATGTAAAGTTATATAGTTAGGTTCTATGGTTAATAATGCTCTAATATCTCTTATTGCACTGTCATTTTCCTCAAGTGCAATAAACAACCAAGCCCTCAATTCTAGGCAATCAGGGGAGAGCTTAAATCCAATAAACTTGTTCAACTCCATAATTCCTTCCTTTATCTGCTTCTCTTCCACCTTTGCCAGGGCTCTATACTTATATGGAAATGAAAGGGAGGGATCCAATTCAGTTGCAACATCTAAATCAAAACTCTTTTCCTTTCCCATATTGTACAGTGCACGCTCCTGATACATCCACCCAGCTGGTTTATACTCAAATATGAGAGAACTAATTAACTTATATGCTGAATATGGTTGACCCTGCTTATGCTTAGTTCTGGCCACACCAGCCAAAGAATAAACATGACCTTCCTCAACTGCTTCCTCAAAACAATGCTGAGCATCTTTGTATTCTTTCCTTTCTAGCAACACACACCCCAATTGGTGGAATGCAAGGGCCTTCTGCCATCTTTCTATAGCACATTCTTTCATTCTCTCTAGTAACATCATTGTTGTTTTAGATGTCATGCTTTCCTCCATAGCCACTTGACTCAGGAAATAGTACAATAAAAAAGAAGCACACCCCAGATTGGCCAACCTTTCCTTTGCCTCAGAACTAGAGAATATTTTTACCATCTTTGGATCATGCAGAGAATTAGGAAGCTCCCTAAGCAACACTTGTAAGCAAGACACTACAAGAAGGGTGGCTCTCTCTTCCAATCCATATTCAATAAGTGTCAATGCATCTTCAATGTTCACAACAATTGAAGCCAAATGGGCATCACAGGCAGATTTCATCTCCTCACAACAAAACCTATTGGCAAAGGACAGAAGCTCCAAAACAGTCATGGGACAGAAAAGATCCAATCTTTTGGTCCTGCTGTAAAACTCCACTGCCCTCATTCCTTTGGGGCATATCCCATTTCCTGAGAAATCAATCTTGCTCATTTTGGACTCAGCAAACCCACCATAAAGCATGGCATTTAACGGATCAGAAAGTGAAGCAATCCTGCACCTTACACAACTGATATCTTCATTCCCAACACAAAACAAAACATCACTTTCCTCATCTGACAAACACACATTCTCAATGGAACTTTCTTGATTTGGCTCTTGCTGACACTGGCATTGATCATTAACTGAACAAGGACTAAACCCGTTTTCTAAATTCTTCTTTGGACACTCAAGAACATAACCACCACAATCCATTGAAGACACACCAACAAGCTCATCATCCCTCCTCTCATACCTCAACCATGCAGACAACACAACCTTGGAGAGTACATCCTCAGCATTCTCCCTTGCTATCCTGAGACATCTTCGGAGTATTTTCTGGTCACCAAGGCTACGCAAGAGAGAGTACTGTTCCACACACAGTGATGCTTTCTTGGACTGTGAACAACACTCTCTGCGCTGATAGAGTTCTGCTAAGGTCTCCACAAGGTTGATGGGCTTAACATGAGGTTCTATGGAGGGTTCAATGGTGTCAGTGGAAGGGAGTTGAAGAGGGACAAGGTTTGCAAATGCTGAGGTTGAGTTGTTGTTGGTGCTGGATTTGGTTTTTGACCAAGATGATAGTATAGTTCGGTTTCTGTTAAGGTTGTTATGAGATTTGGTGGTGGTAACCACTGAGGCTTTGTTGCTATTGCCACCGTTGGTTTCTGATGAAGAGGAATTGAGAGCATGAACTTGAGTGCTCTTGAAACGTTCAGTGAGCTTAAGACCACGCATCTCTAATGCAAATATAAGTACTTTGCTTTCAATCCCTTATGCTGAAGTGTTGAACTTTGAATAAAAATAAACTTGGGTTGTGATCCTTTAAGGAAAAGAACTTCATTTTGTACTTGCAACTATAGATAGATAGATAGAGAGAGAGAGAGAGAGGGGAGGAAGGGGAGTTATAAGTTAAAGGGCCTATGCAGTTTTAGGTATCTTGCAGAAAAGGGAATGGTTTTTGTTTCTAGGTGCTAGTGTTTTTTCAGGGTGGTTTGCAGAGAAGAGAAAGACGGTGGATGGGTGATGATGAAGACCAATGGCCTAAACTGAACTTGGCATCTTCTTTATGCTAAAAAGGAGTGGAAAATTCAGGCTTTAGATAATGTGTGTTTTTAGAATCAAAGAATAGGACTCAATGAATGAAAAGGTTAGTGCGTCTCTAAGGGGAAAATAAACCAAGTAAGGAGCTACTTGTATAATTTCTCGGTGTGATCAGGTCAAGCTGCTATGCTCAGCCAGAGCCAGTAACTTACTCCATTTTTGACTTCACCAGAGAGAGAGAGAGAGAGAGAGAGAGCAGAGAGAGAACCATACATACATAGTGACAGATCCTTCAAAAGAACCACTCCAATACGAGACATGAGCATGCTGGACTGGTCAACTGGTTCCATGATCATTTTCTTTTCTTTTCTTTTTGTTGTATTAAAAAAGTAGGACATAGGGTCACAGATTATTTAATTATTCCACCAACAAAGTGAAACGCACCTCGATTATTTGCTAGGCAACTTTACCTTAATTAATTAAGTTTTCATTAAAGCTTCAAATATTAGGATTGAGATGAAATTGCATGTCAAGCAAAGGTGCATAAGGTGGAGTGAGTTGTGTAACCAATCCAATTATTATTTTTAAGTTAGGTGGTCTTATCAACAACAAACAAGTATTCACATTTTAAAATATCCCCCCTCTCCTCCCCAATAATAATATTAATAATTTAAGCTTTCACTTCTGTTTACTCTTTTCTCCTACAAAATCGATTTATAACGTATTGCCTAATCAAATGGTGATCGACACCATAAATTATTATTATTATTATTATTATTATTGTTCATATTGGTTGGATGTCAAAATCATGCGTGGCACTTTATTTGTTTTTTCTTCGGGGGGAAAAGTTATAGGGTGATTTGAGGAACTGCATTTCCTTTTGTAGCATTAATATTCTATTATATATTCTTTGCACAGCATATAATCCAATTAAGATGTGTAGCATATAATATTATGTGCTAAATAATTAACAATGGTCCACTACATCTCCACAGCACATGAATTTGCAAGGATACGCTTGATCACATCTAAATTAAGGGGTAAAAAACATCAAATCTGACCAAATAAGCCAATAATGTTAGTGGTCGGGCTCCTAATTATTGATGGGTCAGGAAGATATATAGTAGATCTAGCTAGCAACACCTTTGTAAAATTTATTTATTCATTACTTATAACATCATCAACCTATATGATGGCTCTTTGGCATAGAGATTCTATCAATAATTGGATGTATGTTTGATGTATGTACAAAAGAATAATATCTGCACATCAACACAAGTTGGAGCTCATGTTAGAAGAACAAAAGCAAGCGGAGAATATATACCCATCTCAAGATAGCAAAATGACAAGAAAGGATCATATCCCTACAATCACCATGTGACACTACTGAAGTATGTTCTTCCTTAATGCGGTCCCACCAGGAAACTTCAAAGCAAATTGTGGAAAATGACTCAAATAGCTTTAAGAAAAAAATTCCTCAAATCTATGCAAATCAGAATAGTTAATAATTCATGAATGTGATTTGTCAAATGGCACATTTTTTTGTGGCACAGAACTCAAGTCTTTTGTTTGCAGTATCTCTAGGTCAAATCTCCCAGTGAAGTATATTAACTTCTGACACAAGTTGGAAATTTTAAGATCATATGTTCAGGTTATGAAATTATATAAAGGAGTTGAGGAGGCATCTTATCACTTCTATGGATATGTTTTGGTTTATCATATATTTAAATTAAAGTTTTTATTATGAAGTAAAAATGACGTATATCATAATATCATTTTATATATTTGGTGATTCATAAATATCAAGTCAGTTTGTCCATTTTTTTTAAAATTTTCGTTTATTCAACTAATTTCATCTTATTTGAAGACTGGTACTAGAGTAAAGAAAGGTTTTTTATATATAATTTCCTTTTTATTCTAAGCGGAAAGAATAAGAATATTCACAAATGAGCAATGAAGGGAAGAAAAAGTATTGAATGAAATGCATTAAAAAATGAAGTAAATGTTGTGCTTTGCTGCATCTGACAAATTCTGCAATGGACACGGGGCTGCAAAATTTAATCACTAATAACTAATAATCACTAACAAAATATTACTAATTTTTTTTAGTAGATGTATAAACTGAGCCCTGAAAGTGTCATTATGTTTGTTTTTTTAAGTTTTGATCTGTATAATTTAGTCTTTACAGTGTTAATTTATTCACATTTTAGTTTTTCTCTCCCAAAAATGTAAGTAAGAAACTAAAATATAAACAAAATTAACATATTTGGAGATCGATTTGTACCCACTAATATTTTTTAGAACCAATAATTATTTTCACAGGACCAAAATGCGAGCCAAATTTTTAGAAATAAAACAAATAAAATATCATTTCAGAGATCAATTTGTATATTTACTCTTTTTTTTTTTTTTTTCTGGTAAAACTATCCAACCATCATATATGTTTTGCCAGGAAAATCAAAACCCAAGTACATCATCACGTGATGGATGATAAACAAGTTGACACATGATGAGTTGTTCAGGTGACTAAGAATAATTTCTTGATATGGACATGCACCTTAATTCATTAATTTCATCACACCACTTTTGTGGTCATGTTTGCTTCTGAGTTCTGATAGCCTGATGGGATATTTCTTAGTTTTCATTTACTTCTATCTTCCGTCAGAATTTCATAGCACAATTTTTTGTGTCTATCAAAATGTTAGACTAAGTGGGTGTTTAAAAATATGTAAAAAAAATGTTCTAAATGTGAATCTAATACAAAAGTTTTAATTAATAATATTAAAATAAATATGAATTAATGATTATTTAAATGTGAATCTAAGCATTTTCAAAATGCAAGTCGGATGAATTCCTAGAATAGGATACAATTGTGTTTAGATTATTTTTCTTAAAAAGTTGCAACAAGTTAGTTTTTTTGTTTTTCATTTTTACTAGTAAAAGAAAACACTACTGATGGAGCAAAAGATTTTTCTTTTGAAAGCAGAAATAGATGAGCAACGTGCTTGAGAAAAAAAAAAGAATCACATTTCAGATAAAAGTGTTTTAAAAAATGAATAGTAGTGGTAACACCATGAATAAGAAAATAAACCAGAAATGCTTCAGTTCCAAGAATGGCAAGCCTCTTTTGCCTCAAACCATTTCGTTGATCAACTGGGAAGCAACAATCAACGTGATAGTAGTGGGAAAAATGTTTGATCATTTTATTTTAATTTTAAGAAATAAAATATAAGAATCTTTTCATTAGTAAAATCCCATAAACGTATATAACAAAGGTGTAAATATATAAGTATCGTCCATGCTCTCGATGAATCAGATATTATTATCCGGTTGGAATAAACAATGCTGGCTCTGTAAATTGTGATTCAAAATTAATCTAAATATTATTAACCATTAATGTGCATCAAAACTTCTGGGCATAGCTGTAAACTTGAAAAGGTTAACTTAACTAAAATCTACTGTGAACCTTAAATCACGCTTAGTAGGCTCATCGTTGTGCGGCTTCAACTCAATAATTTATGTCACCGTAATGATGAAACCCAAGCCAAAGAGTAAATTAATATCTATACAAAGGAAGAAAATTTAGGCTTGTTACTCACTCTTCTTTACATATATTCTTCAGTTTTATACCTCTAATTTAAATGTTAAGTGTTTCCTTGCAAGACAGTCATATCTTACCTTGAATTGCTTCATTGTCACTTGAAGACACCCTCATCAAAATAATAGATGCCTCCCTTGTCAATCGGATACTAAACATAATGTTTAATATTTATTATGCTTAGAGTTATATTTGACATTATATGCATATAAAACAAATTATCTTTTAAGTATTATATTTATAGAAAAGATAGAGTGACATGCCAGAAATAGGTACGCATTACATTGATATAAACTTATTATATCAAATATATCAATTTTTTTTAAAAATATTTAATAAGTTTTCTAGAGTTAAGAGGAAAAGAAGTATTGACTTTTACTATTCGTTGTCAACATACTAATATAGAGTGTTGAAACTTATAGAATTCATAGAAATTTTTAAATATGCAAAAAGTAATGTAGTAATATTTTATTGAAACACAACAACAATTAAATTAAATGAAGAATATAGAAGTTATATTTGATGTCATTAAGAATGTTATTATTAAGCTTGTATAAAATAGTATTCTTCCTTGATCAAGAGCTTCGTTAAATTTTTTTTATTGTAATATCTATTATGTTTATACATCATGTACTATCAAGAGCATTAAAAAAATTCATGTTTAAGATAATGGATTTAGAAAAAAAAGATATAAAAAATTGTTGCAAATGGATTCATATAAAGATTATTTATAAACTTAGTATGAATGAAAAATTACTAACTATTAATTTTTTTATTGTGAATTTATCATAAATTATTAGGTTATGTAAATTTAATATTCAAATTTTTATAAATTGAATTATTAAATTCTATAAGATATTGATTTTAGAACTAATCATCTAACAAATTACAAACTTCGATTCAAATATTATTAGTAATGACAAAAAGTTATTACTAAAAAATAAAAGTAAGGTGAAGGATTAATTAAATAGTTTAAAAAATAGTATAAGATTAAAATAAAAATAAAAAAATTAAGAATATTTAACAAATGTAAGTGTGACAATTTGACTTTACCTCTTAAAAATTGGATTAGAAAGACAATAGTATTTTTAACATAATTAGATTGAAGAAAGGAGACAATCAAGCAAAAACGTAATACAGCAAAGTCAACTATTGAAATGACAACGCAATAGTATCGTCTTCAAATAATTACATATTATATATATATTTGGGTTTAATTGGAGAATCAGAAAAAAAAAAAAAAAATCCTACGAGGGGCCATTGAAAAATAAACAAATGCGAAAGAATATGTTAAAATCAGTAAACCCAAGACGAACGTGTTCAAATTCCATGGCATTAGATTACATTACTAGAGTAGGACAAAATACAACTCACAGCTTACAAACTTCAAAACGGATGAAGCTTTTTAAAAATTTATTTTTTTAATAAAATTAAATTAATGCATGCGAATTTCTCTCTGTCAGTTTTTCCCACACATTTGTACTGTAAAAGCAATCTTATGTTAGACATTATACAGCACAGGTTCATCAATGCCAATGTTTCTCACTAAAAAATAAAGATAAAAAGTATTCTTAGCATCATTAACCATTTCTCAAGATAAAATCATGCTCTTGTGTGTATTAACATCCAAGTTGAAGCAATGACAATATTATGACATCAACTATCAATAGCAAAATCAATTAATTCCGGAGAAGATTCTAATAATCTTACATACTCATTATAAGATTGCTCTTCCACTAGAATTGGTCCATTTGACATTAAAACTATACAAAATTATACAAGCAAGCAAGCACCAAGAATCAGTGCTTGAGGTATACAAGCATGCCTCCAAAACCAGAGGTAGTAAACTTGGCACAGTACCATTTCGTTTTCTATCTAATATGGAACGTAATGGAACAGAATAGAGTGAAATAAAACAAAGTTACCATTCCAATGTTTTGGATATTTTATAATAGAATAGGCATTCCATCCTATAATTCCCCGAATTAGAAGGGAGGAAAAAGAGAGGTTCTGAATGCAATGGAATGGAATTCATTTCTTCATGTTCTGTTCCATTCCATTCCATCCAATTTTAAATAATCCAAACAATGGAACTGAATATGATGCCATTTCATTCCACACTATTTCATTTTCTATCAACACATTCATAGCCTTTATAGCATTTTCACAACCCAAAGTTTATATTTCCTTATATACAAATATACAAGACAAGGACCTATCAGATTAGCATCAGAGAGGGACTTACAGAGTTTGATATAAGCATCTAGATTTCCATATTGTTGGATCCTTTTCCTTAAACCTTGCAGTACAGCAGCCCTATCCAAATACTCTGGATAGAATCCCAATTCAAGCATTTTCATGACAGTTTCTGCTGCTTCGTTGAAATGGCCACCTTTGATATACCCTCTTAACAGCCACGACAGACTTTTCTTCTTCTGTGGCGAGCTTGCAATCTCTAACCGTGTCAGCAGCCTTGCAGTGGCAGTGGCTTCCTTCTGTGAAGCACAAATGGCAAGAACGATGTCATAGAGATCTCCATCGGCCTCCTTACCTACAAGCTTCATCTCCCACAACTGCCTCTCGGCCTCAATTCCATGACCAGCACAAATATACATAGCAAGGAGCCTCTCGTGAACGATTCCATGAAGCGATGGGCTGCCATCTTGAATCACCCAATCAGACAAGCGCACTCCATCAGATAGTAGATCTGATTGATACTTCTCCGTAAGCTCAACATCTTCTAGATCTAACTCAGCTATCAACCCAGCCCTCGCAAAGTTTTTCAACTTGCGAAGAGCTTTGGCAAATTCATTCAGCTCCTTCACCACCGCAGTCATTGCAACAAGGTAACTGTAGACCTCTGGCTTCAAGCCAGATTCTCTAAAGCGAATTACCAATCTAACAGCACCTCTATAATCACCCTCAGCCTGCAAAAGAAAACATTTATTCAGTAACTCATCCTTTCAAAGATAGTCTTGAAACAAAATTGCGAGTATCCAAGAAGAGTACTGTAAACATTGGGGCTATCTTGGTAGTATTAATATTGTTCCACAAACTGGGCTAAATACAAGGTAATCAGAAAAGAATTTCCCTAACCTTCTCTGCCCCAAGAAACAAAAAACTGGCATAAAGAGCATACGGGACATCATAGGCCTTAGATACTAAAGACAAGGTGAGCCAGGAGTCACACACTGCTCTTGCCACAGATATGACTTGTAAATTTAAATTCAGAATCGAAGAAGCCATATATGACTAAATGAAGATGAATAACAACCAAAAACACGCTATTCTAGTTTCCAAAAAGTACATCTGGTAATAAACCAGAAGCACCAATTCACGTGAACGATTGGGGAAAATTACCCAAAATTGTTTTGTTTCCATTTCATTCCCTTCCATTCCATTATTGCTAGATATTCAACGATAAACCAAGATTGGGAGGACACATTCCCCCTCCTTGAAAGAATAACCCAATCATATATCTATATAAATATAGACCACATGTATCCGCTGCGGGAAGCAATTTTTTTTCAAACTAAATAGGTTTACTATAAGCAGCAACGCTCTCTTTCCAATTATTTAATACAGCTGCATTCCCAAGGACTCAAATTCAATACCACTAATTAAAAGCCAGTCTTATATATCATACAGACTAACCTTAACAATGACAACCCACTAACCAACAATGTCATCAACTGACTAAAAGCAGAGCAATACCAAACAATGAATGCAAATTAGCAATGCAAAACAGAAAGAAGTGATTTCCTCAGCTCCAATTAACAAAACATCTAAGACAAGGGAACCAAATGATAAACAACTCACACAAACACAACGACTCATTCAACTAAGATGTTCTGCAATACAAATTCAGAGTTTCAAACAAGAGCTGACACTCCAACCAAGTAAAGAACCTACACATTAAACATCAAATGCTTGCTTACCATCATCTTCCAAGCAAGATACCCAGTTGGCCCTCCTTTATGGCCTTCATTGTCATTCTGAGCATAAGGGATTCCACGCCTCAAAACCTCTTCCACAAACAAGACAGCACCTTCCTTCTCCCCCATTTCCCAATACAAGGAAATCACCTTCTCAATCATGCTAAAGCCAGGCCTCAACCCCACACAATCCATGTCCACAAGCAAGTCAACCACATCCCCAACACCGTGCTGCTCATGAATCAATTTTTTCACCCAACCACACATGATGGCAACCATGAGCTCCATGGTCTCCTTATCTACCCTATTCTCCTTCCTAAGCCAATCAAACACCTCCAAAGCACACCATGAATCCCTTCCATCTTGGGAGAAATACACCAACACAAGCTGAAGTTCCCGTGCAGAAAGACGATCATTCATCTCTTCAAGAACATCAGAGGGTTCCCTTGTCATCCTCTCAAGCTCCTCAATTGCCTCGAAGAACCCTTCACTCATTTCATCTTCTTCATCGTCACTGGTCACAAACTGGTCCAGTTCCACCGATTTCAAAGCCCTCAAACCCCTTATTGAACCGTGTCTTGCACCAAAGCAAGGGTTTTGAAACTTGAAGGATCTGGTGACAGATACCCCATCAAGGAATTTGAGGGAAAATCCACAGTGTGACGCGGGAAACATCAAAGGGTAACTCTGTTGTGATGGTGAAAGAGAAGAAAACACAAAACCCAATTTGAATATTGGAGCAAACCCATGTGCATAGGCCATTTTCTTTTCTCTCTCTTTCTCTGATTAAAAAAATTCACTTCAGTGATACAGAGAAGTGTCCATCCGCAGCCAGAGCAGAGAAAAATAATGGGAATTGGAAGAAGATTGAATTTTTGTTTCTGAGTTCAGTGAATTCTCAAGTCAAAATTAAGCCCAAGAAACAGAGAAGAGAAAGAAAAACCCGCTTTTCTCAGCATCCAAACAAGAAGCCGCTCAAATTTAATCCATCCAACTAAGAAGAAAGAAAGTGACTGGGGAGAAGAGAGAAAATTGAAAGGCGATAATTGGTGCCATAAAAATTCAACGGAAGAGATTAAGTGAGAAAAAAGAGAAAAAAAATAACAAAAAAGAGAAGAGAATGGGGCTAGAAAGTGTCTGTTTTGGCACTGAAACAAAGACAGAGACAGCATGAGTTGCAATTTGCTAAGGTTTGAACCTTTGAGGGCTAATTTAAGGTGAGAATACGTGTACCAACCGCTACTACACAGTTCTCACCGCTACTGCACCGTTTAGTCTAAAGAAACCAAACGAAACAAGCCATTGGGCACAAGAAGAGAAATAACGTGTGTTTCTCACTATAAGATAGTTTTCACATTTCATTTACATTATTGTATTGTAATGTTATTTTAATGTGGGATTATATACATATATAAACAATTGTAGGGGGCAGGGACTTTAGGTGCAATAATACCATATGTTTATTATGCGTGGTACACAATTAATATCATTCAATTAAGTTCAATTATTATCAGGATTAGGACCCCTAACAGAACGATTAAAAAGTATTTAAGGGAAAATAAAATATATAGCCACCCAAAAATCTCTTTTTAAGAATATAAAATTGATCTACCAAATTGAGATAAGATTCCGCGTCTAATTATGCACAAGAAAATGTGAAAACAGAAATTCATTATACATTTATCTTAAAATGGTTATATTGTACATTTAATTTTACCCCATGACTCGATGGATCCCTTCAAACTAGCTGAGATATCATGGAAACTTTAAAAGCATCAACATTTCGTGATTGATGCTCTTGTATTGTGTGGAGTGGCTACTGGCTACGGGTTATCACAGTAGTGTTTGGTTCAGAGATAAAAAAATTGGAACAGAGACACAAAAACACTCGCTGAAAAAACACAAACATAAAAAAACACGTGGACACAAGTTTAAAGGAGAAGAGACACCAATGTCCCAGCTCGACCGAGACCAAACGCTACCTTAGTGACCCTAAATTCTCCAGTTAGGGACCATGGAGTATGGATCCATCTCAAGTAAGCCACTCTCTGGCAAGTGTTGAAAGATCTTAGCGTAGGTATTGCCCAAAAGGAGTGATTCTGACACTTACCAGTTGATTTACTTGGTAATTTCCAAAAGAAGGCAGCATTGCCTATAATGTGGATGGAACTGCCGAATGCCAAAAGCACTTAATATTGGACTAAATTGTGCAACTTTTATTCTTAGCCAACAATAAAAATAGATATATAAAATAGAAGGCCTAAAGTTTAAATATAAATATTTTAAATAAATTGGTCACTCAAGTTTAAGAGTTAAGACTAATCATTTTCCTCTTTATTTAAATTGGAATCACATACTAAAATCTTTATATGATATTAGAGTTCAAATAAAAATAATTAAAAAGACAATTTTTTTAAAAGGTGTCAAACATCATTAAAAAAAAAAAGATTTGTGGTATAAAAAAATTTAGCCAATAAAAAGAAAAACAAAAGTTAGTCTCAAATCTATATAGAGTAAGACACTCAAGCTTAAATTCAATATTACTTATTCTTAAATTAGATTTGCATACTAAAGTTTTTATTATTTTAATTATAAATTAAATAAATTTGAACTCAAAATATTGCTAAAGCGATATTAAATCACTTACTACTCAAACCAACGTTTTTAAGTAAAATAAATAATTTTATATTATACATATCGGTTAAAATAAGTATAAAATCAGTTAAAAAGCTTTTATCGTATAAACAACATAAACAATAATAAATATAACATCGATTCATTGTGCACTTGTCACTATAAATTTTAACATTGTTAAAGTCAATTATCGCTGACATTAAATGTTATCAATTTAAATAAATTTATTGTAAAATATCATTAGATTAAAATTTTTATCACATGTTTGTAAAATTTTTTTGATACTTTATTGATATATATATATATATATATATATATCAAAATTAATATAATATATGTTAAAATATAAAAATAAAATTTTTATTATTTAACATAAGCAATTAAAATTTTTAAATTTTATTAAATATTGGGTCACTAAACTCAAAATAAATTATATATATATATATAAGATACAATTAAATTTTTTTAATCTAGTCGTTAAAAAGTGAGCAACATAAACTAGTAAAAAAAAAAACACTACTGAAATTAACATTAAACCATATTATGTACCGACATATCATAGTTATAAAAAAATGTAAGCAAATGATTTAACAATTTAAAATGTATATTTATTTCATCATTATTATAATAATTGCAACCGTTGCTTAAATTCTTTCTAACTACACTCATTTTACTACTAAAGCCTTAATTCTTAAATAATTTTTATTTCTCTAGCAAAGATGTCCAACACCAAAACCGATTATCCTTCCAAAAAAAAATTACTATAAATTTTTATAATATTATATATCTCTTATAACTTTTAAATAAGATATATATATATATATATATATATATATATATATATATTTAAAATTCAATTTTCAAAGGTATCTTGAGGATATTTTCGTCTAATAACTTGGGCCCCCATAAACAAGGCTTTTATTGCTGTGGGTGAGGTTTCGATAGTGACAGGGGATTGGTCGTGACTGAAGAATTCCGTGCATGTTTCTCGTTTCTGATATATATATATATATATAAAACAAGGTTGTGGTATTTTATGGTGGTGAATGATGGTGGTTGTTGCTGCTACTTACAGGGGTTGAACTGCAAGTGATCTACTTTTGATCAGTTGAACACAGATAAGGTTGTAAAACCTGGTTTTAACTACTGACTAGTACAGCATAATCGGTTCGAATAGATTATTAAATTGATTATGCAATTAAAATAGTTAACGAATGATTATTTAACTTTATAATTATTTTAGGTAAATACCATCATGCCACAACTACTATTTTATGATTATATTTTAATTATTTATATTTATTACCTATACATAGTTCAATCAACGACGACTTAGTAAAGTAACATTATTCGTCACTGATTTGAATTGAAGTATTTTTATAAACCAAGTTAATGATTGAAGTTAACTTACACACATTACTGATTGAAATAACATCTTGGTATATCCATGATAACGTGTCCTATGGTTATTCCTCCAAAGCATGGGCTCATGTTTTTTTATTTTTTCATTTTCTGCACGTGTTTTTTCGCCTTATATCTATGTGCACTCCTGCTTGCTCCTCTTTATTATTTTTTTTTTTATAACTCAATCTGTCCTTTAATTGTTCTCTAAGTTCAGCTCAGAAGGAAAAGTTGACCAAAAGCCTAATTTTGATTTTAGATAATATATTTTTGTAGTCTAGAATGTATTCTCTATGGCAAGCAATTTTATTTGAATTAAAGCGTGCATAACATGATCTGATACGCAATATTTGAATTTGATACATTTTTAAAGAAAAATTAGGCATGTATATCAAAACAAGCCACCATATATATACCTGTTGGTTAACATTTGTAATACTAATATGCTAATACAATAATCATGCTACAATCACTGAGGATAGTTTATAAGCGCGATCGTTTAAAGTTTAAGCTCGAAAAAATTATGTTTTATTTTTAGGTGAAAAAAAATTCTAGCTTTTAATTATAGTTTGTAGTTAAAAAAAATAAAAAAGATCTTTTAATTTATTGTATCTCACTTGTCATAAACATAGTTAACTCTTTAACTTCTCTAAATTTAAAACTTCATTTAATTCTCAAATTCTACTCTTCATAGTATTAAAGTTTATGGAGAATTTTAATTTTTTTTAAAATTAAACAATTCTTGAGTTTGTCAAATTTGTATATTACTATCTAAATGTTTTAATTACTTATAGATTTTTATTTTTTTTACAGTCCCAAAGATTATAATCAGCTAAAAGAATTTTTTTCAAAACTAAAATTGATCAAAATCTACCTAAAGTCATCAATGTCACAAAAACAGTTGAATAATCTCATAATTTTATCAATCGAGAAGGAATATTTAGAAAACATTGATGTTAATATTATCTTTAATGATTTTACATCTCAAAATATTCATAGAACTTATTTTTTATAATTTTTTATGTTTTTGTAATTAATTATATAATAGGAATTATTTGAATGAAAGAACATTTTTTTTGTAATTTTATTAAAAAAATTGTATTCACTTAAGAAAGTCGTATTATTTTAATAAAATTATTTGCATATATTTTTATTTTATTTTATTTTATTACATTTTATAATTTTTTTAAAATGGACCTAATTTTCTATTTTGTGTAAGGCCCTAAAAAGGTCAAAAACGGATGTCATGATATGCATGCTTTATTTTCTTTTTAATTCTTGTTTTTACAGGTGGTTTGTTTTTACTTTTAAAAAAAATAGTAGTTCTATATGATAATTGTTTCCTTTTGAAGTTTTTTGTTCTTCAAAAAATTGTATAATTACTATGATTTTTTTAGTTATATTTTTAGCATTTTTTCTACAAAAATGGATAAAGAATGTTGAAATGAAACACTGTTGCTCTTACCATGCTAGTTGAATGAAAGCTTAAGGAACATTCTAAACTATGTCAGTAGATTGAACTCCAATTTAGAGGTAACCACACAAATTTACACTAACCTGCAAAATGGAGCTTCATTTGCCGGTCGTGCCACACATGTAATAGGAAAATTAACCTAATTCTTCACTAAGCAGAAGTTTGAATTCGAATCTTGTTTATGAAAAAATAACCTCGCTAAAAAAGTTAACATCAGTATATTATGGATATTCTGGACTATATACCAAAAAGGAAGCATTAATGCATAATGGAAGATGACTCTTTGCCAATAATGACTTGACATTTAGATTCACTTATGAAAATCATGATAAATTGGCCAACAGATCTTATTGGTCAAGATTGTTAATCTTTTTAATTAGCTATGGTTTAGACCGTGGTTATGAGCAGCTTAAACCTGATATTCTGCATTTTGGGCTAAACATAGATTCTAGGAGTTTGGAACTTTGATGAGGGTGAAACATGATTGTGATGCAGTTGGATATGGCCTAATGTGACCATTGTAGGTTGCAATATTGCAACTTGATATAGTTAATTTCGATGTTGAAGCAGTTAAAACTATTA